TTCTTGACTTAACTTAATTTCATACAACTGTCTGCTTTTTTTTAAATCATCCCAGCTCAGAATGAACTTGGTAAAAATAAGGAAATTCCAACACAGCCTCAAAAGATATGTTGGTAATTGTTAATAATAGCAAAGCAAGAGTTAAATCAAAGTAGTTAACTACCTATGTATTCCATTGCTTGTTCATTATTCCTTTTATTAAAATAAATAAGAATTTATATAAGACATGTTTCCATGGATTTGGATCTTGATCCAGGATTGCACTGTGTTTTTTCATTCAGTTCCCATAATAGGTGGGACTGACTCTGGTGATAGGAAGGGGGGGAGGAGAAGCTCAAATACTCATAAACTGGGGGTGGTGGTGGTTTGCCTTCTGACAGATAAGATGATTTGCTGGACTTGTTCAACAGGCAATAGAAGCAATTCATTTGGGAAGGGCACTCTAAGAATTGGGAAACAGCACTTCTTTATGATCTGCCTCCTCTCAACACATTCAGCCCTTGATAATGGAAGCCCATTTTATTTTAATATTGTTGCTGTTACTAATTTTAGCAAATAATAAGCAACATGCCTTTCTCAAATGTTCTTTCTTTCTCCATCACTGCTAGATAACTAGTTTGTGTTTTACTTTAAGAGAAAGAGTCATTTATATCTAAAGACTCAGTTGCTGTCAAGAACAGTAATGTGATCCGCAAATGAAACTAAAGCCAAAGGGGCTTAAAATCAAGCATAGGCCAAAAAATGTTTCTTGGTCTCAGCAGTTTCTTCCAAGCAACATTTTTTTAAAGCTATGTATGCTTTCTGCTCAGACATTGGGGCCCTTTGAGTGACTGGAAACACAGGCCTACCTCTTTTGGCCCGATAGCCATGATGGCGAACGGAGCCATATCTGTGGTGACGCGAGCATTGCCCTAGCTCAGCTCCAGTGCTCATGCATGCCTGGCCAGCTGATTTTCGGGCCTTCTGGGCCCACCGGAAGTTGGGAAACGGGCCATTTCTGGCCTCCAGAGGGCCTCTAGGGGGATGGGGGAGGCCATTTTTGCCCTCCCCATGCTCCAGGAAAGCCTCTGGAGCCCAGGGAGGGTGAAAAACGGGCCTACTGGGCCCACAGATAATCTTTTTGCCACCGCGTGCCAAAAACGGAGGGAGCATGGGGGGAGGGGGTTTGTGCGCGCAAGCATGGAGGGGTTGCAGGGAGCATTGAATTAGGGTTGTGGGCACGCACGCGCATGACCTCCTCGTGCTCCCCCTTCTTTTGGCACGTGACAGCAAAAAGGTTAGCCATCACTGCCCTATAGCATTTGGCAAATCCTTAGTTCAGCATTTCATAGCTTATTCACCTAAATAAGGTAGCTTTCCCACACCCAGGGCTCTTCCTATGTGCATTGGTCTACAATTCTCTTCATCTAAAATTTGGGTTGAAGATGACTGAAATAGCCTATGTAGCCGCAAGGCCCTAGGCAGGGAAAAGGTATTCCAAGGAAACAGAGCTCCATGGAGCAGCTCTTAACAACCCCACATAATGATCAGGAAGACATTACATTTTGAAAATAACACTAGAAGCCAAACACATAGCCCTTCAGATGATGCTGAATCATAATTTTTAGCTGCCATAGTGAGCATGAACAGTAAAGGATGCAGAGAAGTATAGTTTGATTCATCAACATCAGGTGGACTCTGAATCCCATAATTAATATGAAGAAAGGAATATAACTGATATCAATCCTCTTAGGGATCCTGCTGCTCCTCATGGCTCCTGTGCTTTTAATACTCATTAAAAGATGTATCAATATTGCAGAGGGGAGTTAATTGTTGCAATTCTGTTATAAACAACTTCTACAAATATCTGTTCCAGAGTTGCTGGGCTGGAAGGGATGCTTGTAGTAGTTAAAGTATTGAGCTATTATTGAGAAAGCCCCTGTTTAAGTTTTTTTTCAGTCACTAAAACTCAAGTTTGGTTCAGACAACATATCCTGTTTTCCCCAAAATAAGACATCCCTTGATAATAACCCCAATTGGGTTTTTGAGCACATGGCAATAAGGCCAAGTGCTTATTTCAGGGTTCAAAAAAATATAAGACAGGATCTTCTTTTTGGGAAAACATGGTATTAAAACAAATTCTCAAACTCTGGCTTTGGGTCTCTGAATATAATACATGTATTAGCAGAAGCTGTAGTAAACTGTGAAAAAACAACTATGAAATACAATTATGCGGTATTTATTCACATGAGGAATAAGCAAAAATAATTAGAGATCCTATACTAAATATAACAAAATTGGAAAACAAATTATTATTATTATTATTATTATTATTATTATTATTATTATTATTATTATTATTTATTGAATTTGTATACTGCCCTACTCCCGAAGGACTCAGGGCGGTGAACAGCCAGATAAAATACATATAATACAAATGTTAAAAAGCATTAAAATACAATTAAATAATTTGGCCCGGAAAACGAAATTTAAAACACCCCAAATTCTTAAGACAAATTTAAAATTTAAAATTTTTTAAAAATTTAAAAGTTTAAAAGAGAGGTTAGGTCAGGCCAGCCTGCTGAAAAAGAAATGTTTTGATGGCATGGCGAAAAGCGCGCAGGTCCAGGATCCTCCGTATCTCCGGGGGGAGCTCGTTCCAGATGGCGGGTGCCCCCACAGAGAAGGCTCTCCCCCTGGGGGCTGCCAGTCGACATTGTTTGGCCGACGGCACCCTGAGGAGCCCCTCTCTATGGGAGCATACTGGTCAGTGAGAGGCTACTGGTGGCAGAAGGCGGTCTCGTAAATACCCTGGTCCTAAGCCATGGAGCGCTCTAAAGGTGGTAACCAAAACCTTGAAGCATACCCGGAAGACCACCGGGAGCCAGTGCAGCTCGCGCAGGAGGGGGGTCACATGGGAGCGCCCCGTCGCTCCCATAACCACCCGCGCGGCCGCATTCTGGACCAGCTGGAGCCTCCGGGTGCTCCTCAAGGGGAGCCCCATGTAGAGAGCATTGCAGTAGTCCAGGCGGGAAGTGACAAGGGCATGAGTGACCGTATTTAACGAGTCCCGATCCAGAAAGGGACGCAACTGGCGAATCAGGCGAACCTGATAAAACGCCCTCCCGGCCACAGCCGTCAAGTGCTCTTCTAAAGACAGCTGTGAGTCCAGGAGGACTCCCAAGTTGCGAGCCCTCTCTGTGGGGGCCAATGACTCGCCCCCAATAGTCAGTGATGGCACCAAATGACTATATCGGGATGTCGGAAACCACAGCCACTCGGTCTTGGATGGGTTGAGCCTGAGTCTGTTCCTCCCCATCCAGATCCGTACAGCCTCCAGGCACCGGGACATCACTTCAAGGGCATCATTGGGGTGGTCCAATAACCCATATAAGTGAAAACAGTTATGAAGATATTAGTCATATGCCATACTTGTAGTCAATTATTTGCACACATTCACAGCAACCATATAGATTTGCTATATTATGGATAATATGCATTGCTAGCTGGGGAATTCTGGGAATTGAAGTCTACCTGTCTTAAAGTTGCTTAGTTTGAGAAGTGGATCCAGGTCTAAGTGCAGAATTGGACTAGATAACTTCCATGGTCACTTCAAACACAATTATTCTATGAATCTTTCAGGTAACTCCATTTTAAAGAGAAGTGCAAGCCTGCTTTGCGTTGTACAATTTCTCAATTTTGAGATTTAGTTTGAGATTTCCCATTATGCTCCACATTTATTTTTGACTGCATGTTTTTTAAAACAGGAAGTGAAGAATTCAGGAAGCAACATTACTGGATATCTGATTTTCAAAAAGGTGTCAGAAAACAGATCAGGAATTAAGAAAAATATATCATTTCAGTTTAGTATTGAAAAATTGTTTAATCATACATTTGTATTTCTGCTTTAAACTGGGAAGATAACATGCAATGAATGATATTGTTGCCTGTTATTGTCAGTGTCAGTTATATGAGTCTTCTAATGGGGTGAATGAAGAAATCTGATTGACATTGTTACTGCTTCCCTTGACCTCAGTTTTGCAGTTACTTCTCCCCCCGCCCCCACAACTTCAGTGTCAAACTCCTTCTCCCTTCCCCTCCTTCTAGTTCCCTTTGCAGAATGACAGCCAAACTAATGATAAGAACTTTGCACAGGAACTATCTGTCCTTCAAGCATGATCATGCTATCTTTAACACTAAACACAAAACATGTTTGCCTTTGGGCAGTGGTGAAATATAAAATTTGTTACTACCGGTTCTGTGGGCATGGCTTAGTGGTGGTGGGGTAATGTGAATGGGTGGGTGTGGCCAACTTTAAAAAAAAAACTTTTAAAAGCATTTTTTCTACAACCTCTTTGGCTGAAGAGGTTGCATAAAAAATGCTTTTAAAAGGCTCTGATGATCCCAGCTAAGCCGCACGATCATCAGAGGCTTTTTCTTTTTTACTTTTAAAAGCATTTTTTGGGCCAAAGAAAAAATTATTTTAAAAGTAAAAAAAAAAGCCTCTGATGATTGCACGGCTCAGCCGGGCATGGGGGGGTGGGCAGCGATTTTTGCTACTGGTTCTCCGAACCACCTGCCGTCATCGCTACTGGATCGGGCGATCCAGTCCAAACCGGTAGCATTTCACCCCTGCCTTTGGGCCCATATCTTATTGAGAAAGGAGAGCAGAACAACCTTCTTTCAGGCTATTCAGATATGGTTGCAAACTATTTTTCAGCCAAGATCACTTGTATTCATGCTGAGTTACATTCCATGTTGGCAGAAGCAAGAAAGATATCAGGGCAATGACTTGCAAAGTAACTACAGATTCTCTTGACCTTGTGTAATCCTAGGAAGTGGGGCAGGGATCTTACCAGCATGAACTCTACCTTCTATGAACTCAATCCATGTTGGCTGGACTTCTTCAGGCAGTCATACCACCACTGGGCTGAAGTGGCCCCCATACTGCTAGGGCTTAGTAAAATAATAACCAGATAAGAGCCAACCATCAAAGAGACCATCAAATAAGTACTACTTACCAAACACCAAAAACCGTTCTGAACCTGGGATTGTCTTAACAGTTCTATGACAGGCAGAAACTGAGTTGGATGTTCCTGAGTAGGGATGCAAAGGAAATTCAATATTAATTTCAAGGAATATAAATTTCTGCATCTACACACAAGGGGCTACATCTGCATGAACTATGCTGTGGCATGTGATTTGCAGCAGCTGTAGCTATAAACATTTTAAATTTTTTATTTCCACCCTTGTTTTTTATGGGTTTAATTTTCAAATTTACAAGAAGCTGAATATAATAATAAATTTAAAAAGCAACTAACATTTATATCAAGTGCATCAAGAATAGCTGAGAAAAAGTAACTGGCCCAAAGTCACCCAGCTGGCTTTCATGACTAAGGCCAGACTTGAATTCATAGTCTAAGTAAAGTTATCCTTTCCTCTGAAAACTACATGCAGTTTTCTGGGAAGCATTTTCAGTAGTGATTTTTCATTGTCATTTCAGGACTGAAGGGGAATGACAGGCTTATGGTTACCCAGCTGATTTAAGACAGGATGAAACTCAGGTTCTCCCACTTCTAATCTAGCATGTTAACCACTTAAAACTACAAATCATTGTATAGTGTAGGGATGGGAAAGGGGAAGAGAGGAAAGGGCAGAAATAATATATTGGAGATGAAAAGCAGACTGTTCATGGGAAAGGTGATTCCACCATTTAAAACCAAAGTGCCTAGTGATCAGAGCCCCAGTGGTCCCAGTTTTGGGGCATTATTGATTAACATAAGCCAGTCTGTAATAAAGCTCCTCTCATTTGTGATTTAATTGTAAATGAAAAGGTTAACCTTGCATATATTACTGAAACTTGGTTGAGCATGGATTTCTTTTTTGAGAGAGAGTTTTCTCAGAAACTCTTTATGGCTGGGTAATAGTACTTGTACATTTGTGTCAAAATAACCTTTACTTTCTGCACTGGCCAAGCTCCAACTGCTTTCTTGAAAAAATGTCATTTAGTGGGACCCAGGAGGCATGCCTTCTTTGTTGCAGCACCTACCCCAAGGGGCACCAGACCTCTCTTTTATTACACTAGATCAGAAATGGAACAAGTTTTTTAGAGTTCTGATACAGAAGATACATTAGAAAGAAGTTTAAAATAAATACAAATACAAAATAGAAGTGTTGTTTTATTCTAATGAATATACTTTTAAATGAGAAATTTATAGATAGGCAAATTAAGAAGGCAAAACGTAGTACACATCAGCAGAACCTCTAAAACAGTCATAATTATTTAAAAGACTCTTTGATGGAGATGGGTAGTTTAGAAATGGGAAATACAAATAAACAAAAATTTAAAAAAACTTAAACTCTCTGGAAACCCAGTTTATTTGCTATATTATGGACTCTATTCACTGTATAACTCTCACCCCTGCTCTTTTTTTCCCCTTGGGCTATAAAACAGCACAATAGTCTGATATGTATATATAGAATATGGCATTTCTTTCTGAATATGGGGAAAGAGTGTTGGGAAAGCAAATTCTCCCTGAGCAGATGCTATGAATAAAGACCAGGACAAAAAAAAGTTGGGAACTGTGATTATACACAAATATGTACAATAGGACACTCAGATTCAGGATCTGTTCACGCATGATGAAGCTGAAAATTTGACCAGAACAAAGTTAGACTTACACAGCTGTCAGGATTATTGCAGGAAAACTCTGAACCATTTGGCAAGAACTTGTTAGAAAATGAGCAAGGTATAACATTAATCGAATGACCTACAAAAATAGAAGCCACCAAATGCAATCTGAGATTCTTCCTACAACATTTTCTAATGCTTAGGCATGATTAAGGAGAAGCAAAAATAAATCTATGCAATTATGAAACCTTACTAAATTATAGTACCTTACTAAATCCAGAATAAAGTTTCATAATTGCATAGATTTATTTTTGCTTTTCTTTAATTCAAACCCCAGTCCTATAAGGATACTATATTCTATATAGTCAAACAATTAAGACTCACCTACCTTGTTATCCCAACAGGTAGTAGTTTTCTACTGATCGAAACAAGTCCTACCTGGAAAAGTCAGAAGAAGAAATAGAGTTCTAACATATGCAAAGCAAATGCTGTATATAATCTTTGTTTAATGCTTTGTATAAGCTATACAACTTTTGTCTCAAAGTTCCTCTCTTTGGTACTCTTATTGGAAACCTAGCTTAGTTAAAATTATAAACAATCAAGTGGAAAAGTATCACAATGCTAATATGCATTACAAGACTTCTAACATACATCTTCTCCATGGCCAATCTGAATTTTGCAAATAAATATAGTTCATTTTTCGGAGCTGCCTTCAAGGATTGTGCTTGCATGTGTGCAGAATTCCTGGGGAGAAATCAAAGCAAAAGCGGAACGGGAGCTTTGATGCATTGTTCCCCCGATGAATTCCTGACCATTATACATTACAGCAGCAAGTAACAGCTAATGCCCTTTGCTTTCTGAGACCCAGTAATCATTGAATCACATTTCCCAATTAATAATAATTTGCGGTAGAAATCAGAAAAAACATATACAATATCCCCTAAATGTATGTCCTGAAGATCCACCCGAAAGGCATCAAATTGGAGGATTTAAGCCTTACAGAACTAGGTGAACGGTCTTCGCACAACAGTCAACATTGCAGCGAACCACAGAAGCAAAATACACAGCTAAAGTGTGACAATTTTTATAACATCCCTTCTGGACTTTCACCCCATCCTTTAAAAACACTTTTCTTCCCCGTACCTGCTAACGAAATAGTTAATTTGTTGCCAGAACCAAACTTTTTCTTAACTTTCCACTCACTTCTTTGCCGATGGTTAGCAGAAGCGAAGATCTCCCAGAACTGCAGACAATTCTAAGCGAAAGACGCACGCAACTAGCTTCAATAAGAGATGCCTGCCGGTTTTTGAAGAAAAACGAAACCCCCCACGCCCATTGTGGGATGCTACAACCTAAAGCGTTGCAAAGAATGCTGGGAGGTGTAGTTCTGTAATGCAATAAAAAAAGCTTTCTTTCTGGCATTCTTCACCGACCTTCTTTCCAGATGTGTGCAAATGCAACACGCCTATAATCTTCTGAGTTAGTAACAGTTGGGGTTCAGGACGAGGAAGGATCAAGGATCACTTTTAGCAGATCCTTTATTTTTTGTGTTTTCAGATCAACCCCCAAACTGAAGCTTATCAAATCACTAGTTCATTTGTAATACAAATTATAAAAGAGACTATTTCTTTACTTTTTTTCCTTGTGGAAAAAATGCTCAACTGCTTTTCTTAAAGCAACTCACATATATTTTAATGTACATTTTCTTTCATTACTACAGGCAAATTTCAGTTCTACCCTGGGAATTAGGGTAACCAAACAGAAAGCAAGAAAGAAGTGAAAACTGGTCTCAGTCTTGTCATTACAAGTCTGCAAAGAATACTATCCAAGTTGCACGTACTGAGTTGCTATCTTAGTAACCTTAGAAAAGAATGCTTTGGTGCATCTCATCTACAAGTAGTGATTTACCTGTTTCCAAAATATAAGGCTGGAGAATATCTCCTCCTGGTGGTATTTGAGTGAATTGACAGTTGAGCTTGATGTAAAAAGATTGCTGGACAGATCATAGTGTATTCTCGAAATAAATGCACATTTTTCTTCTGAAGTGATGATTAGTATTGATCCCATTATGATCAGTTAATGGCATTAGAACAATTAGGCAAGCTCACAAGAATCGAAGTCTTGAAAGAGTTGAACTCTCCTACTTTACTGGGTAATCCCCAAGTATACTAATCAGCAGGATGGGAATCGGCTAGGTAAGAATATCAAACTTGACACTTCTTGTAGTCTATTGATCACTTCATCGGCAGACTCTGATAGTGTGATACAGCAAAACTATGTAGTTATTTTGATACCCATCACTTCCTAAAACCCACCAATCAGACGATCTGCAGACTGCAGGAAGTCTTAGGCAAAGAGGGAGAGTTTGACTTAATGGGCAGACTCTAGCTAATAAACAAATGATCTTCATAGACCCACACACAGACTTAATTTGCAGGTTATTAAGGAGAAGGGACATGTTTATTCCAATCTAAAATGATTATTAGACTCCACCTCTGTCATCTGAATACAGTGTCTGGTATTTTATTCATCTTGGAATTGTCTTTTGGCTTCAGTACTTTAATAATGGATCAACTAAAAATAACTTTAAGGCTGCCTGAGCTTTGAGATGGAGAAAAAAATGACAATGCCATTGTGAACACAGAAAAAAAAAAAAAAACCAGATGGCAGGATTTAATCCAGGCTAGTATTAAAATTGATGGCAGGATTCAATTCAGGCTAGGATTAAAATTCATGATTTCATAATTAAGGATTCTGAGGAAAAACAACTAGGAACAGGATTTATTAAAAAATGAGAAAAGTCTGGATTTCACTTTGATGCAGTCTGATATGCAGAAGAAATTTCCCTGAGCAAAATTCATAGAAAAGCAGGATTTTAAAAAACTTGCCACCGAATCTATTTTACACATTGTCCACAATTATTTTGTCAAACTTTTAAATCCTGCCATCTCCTGTGAATACTGAATTTGTTATTCCATAGAAAATTGCAACAGACTATGGTCTCCCCATCTTTGCTATAGTGTTCAACTTACCTTTGAGGACAGATAGAATTTGTCCTTAGCTAAGCAATCATTTAGGAATCCACTACTTTTTAAAGTTCCAACTAATAATAATAATGAAAGTAGGATGCTCTTCATTTCTCCTCATTAAACCTCCCATTAAAGAGAGAAGATAGCATGGAAGTTACAGGCAGCAGAGGGAAAGTAGAGCTGCTTAACTCATTCTTTGCATCAGTCTTCATACAAAAAGAAACTATAGCCCAACCTACCAAAAACTGTAACTGTAAAAGACAGAACAGAAATAAAAATTAAAATAAGCAAGAAAATGGTAAGAAAACACTTATCTGATCATCACTACTTGATGAATATAAATCACTACTTGATGAATATGATGAATATAAATCACTGGGATTTGATGGATTACATCCCAGAGTTCTGAAAGAGCCAACAGATGTTATCTCAGAACCATTGCCTCATATCTTTAAAAAAATCTTGGAGGACTAGGGAACTACCAGAGGATTGAAAAAGAGCTGATGTGGTTCCTATCTTCAAAAAAGGAGAGAAAAAACAGACCCAGGAAGCTACAGACCGATCAGCCTACCATCAATACCGGATAATACTGGGGAAAAAAATAGATATGTGAACATCTAGAAACAAATCAAGTTATAACTAGTAGCCAATACGGGTTTGTTAAAAACAGAACATGCCAAAACCAATCTTATTTCATTCTTTAAGTGACTAAATTAGTAGATCAACAAAATGCTGTGGACATAGTATATTTAGATTTCAGCAAGGCATTTGACAAAGTAAGTCACAACCTACTTCTTGGTAAGCTAGAAAAATGTGGGATAGATTGCATCACCACCAGATGGATTTGTAACTGCCTGACAAACCATACCCAGCAAGTAGTCCTTAATGGTACTACATCCACACGGAGGGAAGTAAACAGAGGAGTACCACAAAGTTCTGTCTTAGGACCAGTACTCTTCAATATCTTCATAAATGACTTAGATTTCATTTCATTTTTTTTTTCATTTTATTTGATTTATATACCGCCCTACTCCCGAAGGACTCAGGGCGGTGAACAGGCACAAGATAAAACACATAGAATACAAAAATTTAAGACAAGAAGTAAAATCGAATTAAATCAATTTAGCCCAAGACAAATTTAAAACCCCAGGTTAAGAACAAATTAAAAATTTACATTAAAATTTACATTAAAAAGAGAATGGGAGAGGTTAGGCCAGACCAGCCTGGTGAAATAAAAAGGTCTTGAGAGCGCGGCGGAAGGTGCGTAGATCCGGGATTCTCCGTATCTCCGGGGAGAGCTCGTTCCAGATGGTAGATAACAGAAGAACTCATCAAGTTTGCAGATGACACTAAACTGGCAGGAACAGCCAACACCCCAGAAGACAAACTCAAGATCCAAAAAATTCTTGATAGACTTGAACAATGGGCCCTATCCAATAAAATGAAATTTAATGTGGAGAAAAGCAAGATTTTACACCTGGGCAGGAAAAACCAAAGATACAAATACAGATTAGGCGAAACATGGCTCCAAAACTGTAAGAGGAATCTTGGAGTCCTAATGGACGATCACTTAAACATGAATCAGCAGTGTGGAGCAGCAGCCAAAAAAGCTAATATAATCCTTGGTTATATAAACAGAGGCATAGAATCAAAATCACGTGAAATATTAGTACTGTTTTATTAAGCCTTAGTAAAGCCATGCCTGGAATACTGCATCCAGTTTTGGTCACATTACAAAAAAGATGTTGAGACTTTGGAAAAAGTGCGAAGAAGATCAACTAAGTTGGTTAAAGGCCTGGAGACTAAAGCATATGAAGAACGGTTGGAGGATTTGAGTTTGGCTAGTCTAGAGAAAAGAAGGACTAGGGGGGACACGATAGCAGTATTCCAGTATTTGAGAGGCTGCCACAAAGAGGAAGAGGTCAATTTACTTTCCAAAGCACAAAAACCAGGACAAAAAACAATGGATGGAAACAGTGGTGAAATCCGATTTTTTTACTACCGGTTCTGTGGGCGTGGCTTGGTGGGTGTGGCAGGGGAAGGATACTGCAAAATATCCATTTCCACCCAACCCTGGGACCAGCCAGAGGTGGTATTTGTCGGTTCTCTGAACTGCTCAAAATTTCTGCTACCGGTTCTCCAGAACCTGCTGGATTTCACCCCTGGATAGAAACTAATGAAGGAGAAAAGCTACCTGGAATTGACAAGAAAATTCCTAACAGTGAGGACAATGGAACAGCTTGCCTTCAGAAGTTGTCGTTGCTTCATCACTGGAGGTTTTAAAGAAGAGACTGGACAGTCACTTGTATGAAATAGTATAGGGTCTCCTGCTTGAGCAGAGAGCTGGATTAGAAGACCTCCAAGGTCCCTTCCAGCTCTATTCTGATTCAGGATGAATTCTTATTCAGAATTCTGATTCAGGATGAATCAGAATAGAGCTGGATAAAAAGTGGGATAAAAACAAAACTGCAAGTTACAAATCCGCAGTTTTTAAAAAATCCTAACCCTTGTTCACATTCAACTATCCCTCAGATCTCCAGATTTTGCAGACTATAATCTATGGAGGTCCCATATAGGAAGAATCTGCAAAGTACCAGATTAGGGAAGACAGGCCCTTGATAGAAAAGCAGCAGGCAAATAAATAAATAAAGTTTATTGTCGTTGTATGTGTATACATACAATTTGATCCCAATCAAATCTAAGGCAAGAGATCCTTAGGAATATGTTTGTTGAAAACCAAAATTTATGACAGCAACAAAAATGCCACAGCCATCAAAAATGCCACAGAATGCTATTTCGCATACGGAATTTCCCATGCATTACAAAACGTGGCTGGTCCATTTCCTGCACAAGAAGACTCCCCACGTTCCACATCACGAAATAACCAGAACCCGTGACCCTTCTGCCTTCCTCTAGCTAGCATCATCTTATGAACCATCTCCGACAGCGTAAGGGAGCTGAGCCAATGGGCGAACAAGGAGTCTTTTGGAACTACCCAATCCTGCCTGGGCGAAGTGGGAAAAAAAAAAAAAAAAAAAAGGAGCGCGCGGGGTCTCCGCCCAAAACGCGAGTTAGTGAAGATAGTTGTATCCCGTCAGCCCCTGGGCCGCGGCAGGATAGCGTTTCTTACGTCGCGTCAACCAATAGAAGCGGAGGACGCAGTGATACATTGGCAAGGTGAGAGAGGGCGGGCGGGGCTTGGTTTGCGCTGGTTGGAAGAGCCGCGATTTTGAGGGTTCGGTGGAATCTTTCTTTGCTCTAGTCTAGAAGGTGAGCAGCGTAGCGCTTCGGAGAGACGGCGCAAGCAGCAGTAGGTGCTGCACCTGAAGGAGGTGGGGAGCTGTGCAGGAAGCCGGGCTACTTGAGGGTACAGACCGCTAGAAAGGAATGATTAATGGTGTATGCAGATGCAACGAGGAAGTCAGATAGGACGAAGCCCCCCCTCCCCCCCCGTGGTATTTTAATTTTTTCCCCACAACAGCTTCTTATTTCTGACTAACCAAGATAAAATCTCAGGGCTTCTAGAAGTTGCACAGCCTCTTCTCTGAACAAATTTCCAACCTGTGATTGTCGACGTTATTATTATTGAGTTTAAGACTACAACCCGTCGTTTCAAGGTGTAATCCTGATGCCAACAAGGCATACCGCCATTGAACACGGTGAAATTGGCTTCTGAATAAATATATATTTGACTGATGTTGGGGAGAACAAAGGAATGGGGGGCTCTACTCTGATCCTCAAAAGCTGTTTATGTTGTGCTGTATCGTTTTGAGACACTGGCAAAACAGATAAAGAATTGGAGCTTAAATGGGAAAAGAGAAATGAATAGTGCCTCTAAATTTTTTACATACCTAGGTTTGGTATGTTAAAGAAAAAGTACTGGGATACTGTTAGTGATATATTCTAGCATCTGGAAAAGGTTTGGTGAGAAAGCTCTTGTTTGAAGCAGGAACACTGAGAAAAGAGATTTTGTATGAGATAGCTGTAGCTGCACATTTGTAACTAAAGGAGTTGATATGTTTCATCTCCTATGCACATTTTCTTTCTGTCGCGGTTTAATATTTTTCAATATTACTTAACAGATGTATAGCCTGTAAAAAAGAGAATGAAAAACTAATTTTCTGTTGAATATCATAGCCATATTAACTTACTACTTTTCTGATTTTTTTTCCATTATCTTTTGGTAATTATGTCAGTATGAGTCAGTGTAACAGAATTAATACCTAACACATCCCTCCCTCCCTCCCTCCATAGGATTCTTATTAAGTGATAGATTTAATACTCTGCATTTAGTGACTGTTCACATAAAGTAATTTTACAACCAAACCTTGCATTTGTCATCCTTAAAGGTTTGTAAAACAAAGGAAAGCCAAAGTATGATCATTAAGCACAGCCATGATTTCATTTAGCAACACTTTGCTCAAGAACTGAGTTGCCAGTCTCAATTGTGGTTGCTAAATCTACCATTTAATTTTGTATTTATACTTCATTAAAAAATATACTAGTAATGGGAAGCCAACAGATAAAAGAAAAAAAAATGTTCCTTATAATGGCAATATTTTGCCATATAGTGGTGGAAGTGTTTGTGTGTGTCTTTTTTAACTCAGTTATTTTTTTAAAGCTATGTGTACCTCATTGTAGCTCTTTTCCTTCATTCAGGACAATCAGAATGCAGACTCCAGTAACTCTTCTGGCTTCACCAGCTCTGGTATGGAATGTTTGCCTTATACCTGACTTAATGGAAAAGTAATAAATAACTTCATTTTTCTCAAATTATTTGATCCAGCTGATCTATATTACTAACACTCCTGTTTTACAGAGAAAGCTAAGTGACTTTTCTAAGCCTCACAATGAATTTTGGCAGATTATTTGCTGATTCTTGTTAAATTAGTTTCTGAAGAATTTATTAAAATGGTCAAATAATTCAGTAAAAAATGCAAACAAAACATCTTCCATTTTATTTGCTTATCTGCTAGACAAGGTCTCTGTCATTTATTAGTAACAGATACATTTGGGCAAAATGGACCTTTTTGGAATAATCAAGCTCTGGACCATCCTGTTAATTCTCTACCCTGGAATCTGTTTTCCTTCAAAAAAGGCCAGTTGTGTGTTTCAAGAATAGTTTATGCATTTACAAAATGGTTAGCATAGTAATGGTTTCTGGTTTCAGACAAGTTTGGAAGCAGCCTGTATTTGTAATACTGCAATTTTCTTTCTCTTCTTGAACAGTGCATTTCGACAAATGCACAACTTATCCCTGAAATTCTTAGATTAGAGATACAAGGAAAAGAACAATTTGTTCTGGAGCCAGATTGTTTCAACATGGACAATTGTCCACATCTCCCATGACTGTTAATTTATCCAAAAATTTACAATAAAAAGAAAAAAGTGCCTTTGCTTGATAGCCTTGTAATAATATGACTAAGAGGAAAAGGCAATAGACTGTTAATCATGTCTGGCAACATAATATATAATGTCCTGACTATTAAAAAATCTGCATGTTTATGTTTTGAAGTACAAATTCAATTGTACACTATATATTTACAATATTTGCAATTTTCCCACAATTTAAAAAGTACTTTATTATGGTCTTAGACAAGAATGTAACTAAAGATATAAACAATAAAAGAAGATAATATTCATAACTAAACCTTAACCCTTCTTATAAATCATCCTACTGATGAGCATTCAGTATTTTAATGTATCCTTTTGCCCAAAGGCCAAAATTTTTGAACTCTATATGTTACTTTGATGTCTGTCTGACAGTAGATACTTTATATAAAATTCATCAAAGCGACCTAATCAATTTTTTTTTTTAAAAAAAGAGCTGATTTAATCTTGTTTGAAAACATGAAAAAACCTCAGACCGAAAACATGTTTAGTTAATTCAGCCTCCCCTGTTTTGCTTAAGTGTAGTATTTAGGGAGTTGTGTGTATGATGGTCTGAATAATTTGAGCAAGTCTTATGATTAAATGTTTTTAAAATAATACTGAATATAGAATCCCTGTATATTTTAAAAGAAATATCTAGCCTGGTTTTATTTCTGTATTTAAAATAGGAATGGACAATGTGTTGCTTGATCTGTTGAATTTCAATAACTGGTACACCTAATAGTGAAAGATGGTACAGTTATAGTCTAGCATCATTTGAAAGTATATATTGTGCATCCCTGCTTTAGTATCATAAAAATACCTACCGTGTTTCCCTGAAAATAAGACCCTGTCTTATATTTTTTTGAACCCTGAAATAAGCGCTTGGCCTTATTGCCATGCACTCAAAAGCCTGACTGGGCTTATTATCAGGGGATGTCTTATTTTGGGGAAAGCAGGCAGGGATGAAGTCTACTTACCTTCCTTACTGATTCGGAAGCGCATATGCTGCATGCTTCCTGAGGCCACCTACATGTAATCCATATCTCTTCACATAAGGCACAGATGATGTTAACTGGCACTGGTCTTAGTAATTCTGCAGGTATTCCATCAATACCTGGGGCTTTCCAGTTTGGCAATTTCTCCATGGCCCGTTCTATAATTACTTTCAAGATGCTTGGTTCTTTATTAATTGGGCTGTCATCGTCATCTTGATAGTAAATCAAATCGCTATATTCTGTATATTCTTTCCATCTGTTCTTGATCTTCTGCTAGTCACTTAGTACATTCCCATTGTGGTCTTTAATAGTTCCTTGCGATGCTGAAAAGCTGGATCACATCTTTTTCCCTATGGCAAACCTAGTTTCTTCCAGATGTTGACATTGCTTCTCTCACTGCCTATTTTTGTCTTTCCTGGCTTCATGTTGGAAAATTGCATTCAGCTTTTTAACTTTGCCCTTATTACTTTTGGTTTAGGCCAGCTGCTCTTTGCTGATCAGCTATTTTGGTGGTATCGGATAGCCACTTGGCGTGATACATATAATCCAGCAATGTCAATGATGTTACTTGGATCTCTCACAACTGTTCATTTGGATCTTTCTAGATTCAGTGGTTCAAACCTGTTCTTAACTTCTATGGCATACATAGGCGAGATGTTGTTCACACTGAATTTTTGAATGAATTAGTTCAACACTATCATGAAAATGACATTTCTTCTACCTTTTTTCACTCTGAGCTTCAGTTTAGCCACTAATTAGCTGACGATCTGAGCTACAATTAGCATCAGGAAGTGTCTTAACAGAATGCAACCAAACCTTTCCAGCATGGTTGGCATAAGATGAAGTCTATCTTGATTTGTCCATTTGGTGCTCTCCATTTGTATAAATATCACTTGTGTTGAATAATATAAAAAAGATTCTTTTTTGATATTTGCTTGAGAACATATTGAAGGTCACTGTAAAAGAATTTCAGTGTAAATGTAAGGAATTTTAAATAGATTTGGATTAATTTAGGTTTGAATAGCTAGCTTAGGCTACTGCATAGATTTGTATGTAGTTGGATATAAACTGAAATGTTTTTCTCTCTAGCTCCGCTGCTGTTCTCGAATTCTAACTAGGCCAGCTTCCCTATCTTTATTGAGCAGGCCTGAGACTCAAACTGTGCAGGTAAGTATAAACAGTTATTATTATACATTATATTCTGAAAGTACAGAAATGGGCTATTTGACCCTTGGATCTATAGGATATTATTGGCCTCCTGTTACAATATTTTACAAACTGGGAACATTAGAAGAATTTTATATACTCTTATGCATATCAGTGTTGGCCTTTCCAAAAGGGAGGCAATGTCACTATAGGAAACTATTCTTTCCATATGATCAAGAATGTTTAATGTTACTTAAATAATACCAGAAATAATTATTTTGTAATAAACAAACAAACCACGTGCATAGGTGAACACAAACATGGGAAAGAAGGCAGTGTCCATCCTGATATTATTATTTCCCCCCTGGTCTAATTGCCATCTTCCCAACGGATGTTTCTTCACCTCTCACCATCAGTGTAAAAATTACTTTGAATTAGATGGTTCATGAATTTCAACTTCCAAGGACCATTTAAATAAATATTTATTCATTCATTCAATGTTAATGCTACCTGATTCCAACTGACTATATTTCAATTATTCTTGTTCAGTTGTTTTCTGGAGTTTCCTCTTAATCATAAAAGATCACACAATTAGGATCTCTTATACGGACAAATATTTCAAGTGTATCTGTCCAGTACTGAGGTTTTCAGAATTTGCATATTTGTAGTTTAGTGGTAGCTGTCATCTTTAAATAAGCACAGATGAGGTTTGGATTTTCTAAGACTTCTTATAGGGAGTTTGACTCAAGGAAATCTAACCTTTGTTTTTGTTCTACAAAAACTCCCATGTGGCTTTCTATGTTTTATTATTATGGACCTTCAATACTTAGAAACTACAAAAAGCCTTTAGTCATCCAGATGCTGTTGAATATCAGTCTCTATCTCTATCAATTGTACTAGCTGGGGCTGATGGGAGTTAGAGGTCAACACTATCATGAAAATTACATTTCTTCTACCTTTGGCTAAATGTTTGGCAAGATATTAACCGAGCTGTTGTTTCTTTACTCTCACATCCTTGATATATCCTAATACAGTATCAGCTAACTGCTGAATTACATATTTTTGTGCAAGATAACCATGGAACTTTCAGATGTTTGGCTCAAACTGTACTAATTATTTGCTCATTTCACAGCCTTTTGGCTTTTCCACTCATCAGCTGGCTCATCGGGAAATCCAAACCAGCTCTGCCTCCCGTGATATTGATACAGCTGCTAAATTCATTGGTGCTGGTGCTGCTACGGTGGGAGTAGCTGGTTCAGGAGCTGGGATTGGAACAGTGTTTGGCAGCTTAATCATTGGTTATGCCAGGTAAACTAATATGCAAGAACTATTTTGATGTAGTTAGAATCTATTTTATGACCTTTATCCACAAATAAATCAATATTCTAAGAAGTAAATTTTGCTGATAGTTGAGAAAAACTGAAATTTTAGTTAGGGAAGACTATAGACTTAGAATAACTTTATTGTCACTTTGAACGTGCACTAATTGGCATACATTAACATGAAATTTCATTGCATGCAGCTCTCAAAGGGTCTTCACCTCTAATATAAACCACATAAACATGACAAAATAAATAAATAAATAAATACATACATACATTATGCATATACCCACATATATTATATGACACAGAAAAACAACAGTCTAGTTCAGATGTATACATGTACATGGTGAGAGAAACGAATCTTGTGAGTTTACAAGGCGGATGTCATAGGGGACAAAGCTGTTACAGAATCTGGTAGTCCTGCTAGAAACACTTCAAAATCTCCTCCCAGAGGGGAGCAACAGAAACAGACTGTGAAATGGGTGTGTGGGGTCTCTAACAATGCTTTGACCTCTAAGCACATAGCGCTTAAAAGCAGCATCCTGAATAATGGGAAGTGAGCTTCCTATAATCTTCTCGGCTGTCCTTACCACTCTCTGAATGGATTTTCTCTCTGAGGCACTGCAGCCACCAAACCAAACAGTGATGCAGTTTGTTAAAACGCTCTCAATCGTGCCTCTGTAAAAAGTGGCCAGGATAGGAGAAAGATGTGCTCTCTTCATCTGACGCAAAAAATGCAGACACTGGTTTGCACACTTCACTAAGGATGATGTGTGGAGAGACCAGTTCAGATTGTTAGTTATCTGCCCCCAGATACCAGGGGTGAAATGGTCCCAGTTCGGACCAGATCAGGCGATCCGGTCGCAATTGTGGCAGGTGGTTCGGAGAATCGATAGCGATGGCGGTGCAAGGCTCCACCCACCCACCTGAGTGTTGTTACTTCCTGCTTTTAAAAGGTAAAAAAAAAGGCTCTGATGATCGCGCGCCACAGCTGTGATCGTCAGAGCCATTTTTTTACAACCTGTTGACCACCTCTACAGATGCATCCTTGATACTGAGTGGAGTATGACCATGCCAGCTCTTTCTAAAATCTACGATGATCTCCTTTGTTTTATTAACATTTAGAATCAGAATACTTTTATTACACCAGTCCACCAGAGCCTTCACCTCTTCCCTATATGCATCTTCATTGTCATTCCGGATAAGACCCACCACTGCCATGTCATCCACATACTTCACAATATGATTTGTAGCAGATTTGACACAGCAGTCATGGGTCATCAGGGTGAACAGTAGCAACTCAAGACACAGCCCTGTGGGGAACCTGTACTCAAGGAGACGGAGTTGGAGATTTTTCTTCTAAAAAACGGGGGCCTATCAATAAGAAAATCCAGTATCCAATTACATAAAGCAGTATTAAAACCTAATATACCCAGTTGGTTCACCAAATGCTGAGGAATGATTGTGTTGAATGCCAAACTAGAATCAATAAACAGCATTCACATATGAGTATTCTCCTCCAGGTGTGCCAAGCTAAGATGAAACACATAGGAAAGTGCATCATCTATAGAGCGGTTCTTCCAATAGGCAAACTGTAATGAGTTCAAATGTAGGGGGAAGGCATGAAACCATATGGTCCTTTACCAATCTCTCAAAACACTTCATCATAATGGAAGTGAGTGCATCTGGATGGCAATGATTAAGGCATGTGATGATAGTTTTGTGGAAGAGACTAGTGAATTCCAAGTAGAATTTTGTTATCAAATGTCTTGTTGAGGAGATATACAGATGTCATTCCAGATCCACTGTTTATGTCAAATCAATCTTTTTGAAGTCAGTAACCAAGTTAAATTTTATAAGCACACATAATTATGTATTGTGTTAAGATACCTGTTGGATAGCAGGAACTGTGCACACTATTCGGTAGTAAGTCCTGAAATTCAGAAGTGAATTAATTAGGTCTGTGAGAGGTTCCCTGTAAAGTTGAGAATAAAAGAGGACATGCTTAATGGATTCCATTTATCCTGACTCATAGGGATATAATGGTGGTGATATCTTTTTGTATACCTTCCATTAATTCTTAAAGGAAGGCATTGCAGAAGAGTAGACTTCTTGGACTCAAACCATAAACTTGCAGGAGAGATGTAGCTAATGTATCCCAGCAGTCCCCAATCTTTGTAGCTTGGTGGTCTGGCTGGGGGTGGGGGTGAGAGGGGAACAGGGTCACGCGAATGGTGGGTGGTGTGCACACATACGCGCACACCTTGACTTGTGCAAGTGTCGAGCTGCATGTGCATGTATGCCAGCCCATGGCCTGGTTCTGAATAGTCCATGGCCCGCTAGTGGGCTGCGGCCTGGGGCTTGGGAACCCCTGATGTATCTATTGATTAAGAGAATTGTAAACAGTTCCAAAGCATACGAAGCATACTTGTCTTATATGCATGCTTTTACCATCTGGGGCATTATCTCCTTTTTCACAAAACAATTATATTTCTGTTCTATTGTCATTTTTTTCCATCTGTACAGTATATAAATACATGTGTTCATAAAACTTTGAATCAAAAAGCATGTCTTCTTTTTGGAAAACTGATGCAGGTAGTACTTGACCTAAGACCAAAATTGACTTTTCCATTGCTAAGCAATGATTGTTAAATTAATTTTACCCCATTTTTACGGCCTTTCTTGCCACAGTTGTTAAGTGAATCAGTGAAGTTGTTAAGTTAGTAACAAGGTTGTTAAGTGGATCTAGCTTATCCATTGGCTTTGCTTGTGAGAAGGTCACAAAAGATGATCACAGGACCACAGGACACTGCAATCTTCACAAATATATGCCAATTGCCAAGCGGCCAAATTTTGATCACATGACCACAGAAAGGCTGCAACGGTTGTGTGAAAAATTGTCATAAGTCATTTTTTTCAGTGCCATTGTAATTTTGACCAGGCACTAAATGAATGGTTATAAATTGAAGATTACCTGTAAAGCATTTTGCATTTAGGAACATCTTTCATTGAGTTTTAAACTAAAGAGAATACTGAGATTGTATTCAGCTCTTTTGGTTTAAATGACCCTTCTTTTGAGAAAAACAATTCCACCTTCTTCATCCTGAATCTCTCCTTCCATTCACTCTAGAGACAAAGACACCAGAAGAAAAGCTAAAATATATCATCCACTGCTGGCAAAACAGAAGCAGTTTCCATGGATATATATATAGCTTTTATTTACATAGGAGCAGAACTATGCAAACTTTTCTAAGATTTTAAATAAATTATAGTCAAGTACCTATGACAGTGATGGCTAACCTTTTTGCCATCGCGTGCCAGGAGCGGGAGGGATGGGGGGTCGCGCACACGTGTGCCAACACCCATAATTCTATGCGCCCTGCCCCTGCGCATGACCCTCCTGATTCCCTCTCCAAGCTCTTGGCAGGTGATGGCCCGGTAGGCCTGTTTTTCTCTCTCCCCAGGTTCCAGATCCTTTCTAGGAGCCTGGGGAGGGCAAAAATGGCCTTCCCCACCCCCTCGGAGGCCCTCCGGAGGCCGGAAATGGCTCATTTGGTCTCACCGGAAATAGGCAAACAGGCTGTTTCCAGCCTCTGGAGGAAAACCTTCCCCACCTTCCCCAGGCTGGGGAGAGCAAAAAAACGGGACTTCCAGTCCCACTGGAAGTTGGCAACTGGGCTATTTCCAGCCTCTGGAGGGCCTCCGAGGGGGTGGGGAAGGCCGTTTTTGCCCTCCCCAAGCTCCTAGAAAGGCTGTGGATCTTGGGGAGAGAGAAAAACGGGCCTTTCCCATCACGCCCCACGCCCCCCCCGAGGCCCTCTGGAGGCAGGAAACAACCTGTTTCCCTACTTCCGGTGGGACCAGAAGGCCTGAAAATCAGCTGGCCAGCGCGTGCATGCATGCCAGGGCTGAGTTTGTGTGCCCACCGATTTGGCTACGTGTGCCACCTGTGGCACGCGTGCCATAGGTTCATCATCACAGACCTATGATCTATACTGTTTAACACTTATCGGTGTCCATAATGGTTTGGAAAACATTATGTAATATTTTATTCTGTAGAATTCAATAGGAATTTATGTCACAGGCTTTTCTTTTGTTTCTACCTACAGGAACCCATCCCTCAAGCAGCAATTGTTTTCTTATGCTATCCTAGGTTTTGCCCTTTCGGAAGCCATGGGGCTCTTCTGTTTGATGGTGGCATTCCTGATTCTGTTTGCCATGTAAAAAGCCTCTGCTGTTCTCTCAGTTTAAGCCTGCTGTTAGAGATATAAACAACTTTAAATAAATATAATTGAAGTTTTTTTTGTTTTTGACATTCATTATTCTTTATGTTTCTTATTCTTTATGAAATAGAGAAACAGAAAACTGAAGATAGAAAATGACCCAATGGCTCATTGAGTCTGCCCTTTTGATAGTTTTAATTTTATTTTTTAAATTTTTGTCAGATGATAGACATGTGTTTATCCCAAGTCTGTTTAAACTCAGTTATTGATGATTGACCCACTATCTGCACTGGAAGTTGGTTCCAAGTTTCCACTGTGCTCAAATTAAAATAGAAATAAAATACTTCCTACTAAAATAATGTACTGTACTTTCATCCTATTTTTCTTTACCTGATTGATTACTGTTCTGCCAATTTATGAAACCTTCAGTCATCTAACAAAATGGGTTTTAGTCCACAAAACTCAAAATAAAAGTGAGTCTATATACGGTATATCACAGAACTAAGTACACCCTTTCATATTTTGTAAATATTTAAGTATATCTTTTTATGTGACAACACTGAAGAAATGACACTTGGCTACAATGTAAAGTAGTGAGTATACAGCTTGTATAACAGTGTAAATGTCCTGTCCCCTCAAAATAACGCAATACACAGCCATTAATGTCTAAACTGGTGGCAACAAAAATGAGTACACCCCTAAGTGATAACTTTGGGTCCAAATGGGGCCCAAAGTGTCAATATTTTGTGTGGCCAACATTATTTTCCAGCACTGCCTTAACCCTCTTGGGCATAGAGTTCACCAGAACTTCACAGGTTGCCTCTTCCACTCCTCCATAATCATGGAGCTGGTGGATGTTGGAGACCTACACATCTCCACCTTCCATTTCAGGATGCCCCACAAATGCTCAATAGGGTTTAGGTCTGGAGACATGCTTGGCCAGTCCATCACCTTTACTCTCAGCTTCTTTAGCAAAGCAGTGGTTGTTTTGGAGGTGTGTTTGAGGCAGTGGTGAAATCCAAACATTTTCCCTACCAGTTCTGTGGGCATGGCTTGGTGGACGTGGTTTGGTTGTCATGTGACCGGGTGGGCGTAGCCAACTTGACATCACGTCACTTACTGTTCGAGCCAGGAGATGTCATGGATTGAGTAAAATGTGAAACTCACTTAACAAAACTCTTGCTTAGCAACCAAAATTTTGAGCTCAGTTGTGATCATAAGTCAAGAACTATCTCTGCCTTCCTCTTCCTCTTTCTTCCTCTTTTTCTTTCTTTCTCTTTCTTGTCTCTCTCTTTTTTCTCTCTCTTTTTTCTTTTTCTTTCTTTTCTCTCTTCCTCTCCCTCTTTCTTTTTCTTTCCCTTTCTTCCTCTTTCTCCTTTTTCTTGTCTCTCTCTTTTCTCTTTCTCTCCCTTCTTTCTTTCTCTCTTCTCTCTCTTTCTTGTCTCTCTCTCCCCTTTCCTTCGTCTTCTCACCCAAAAGGCAAGCAAGCCTCGCCATGTCCACCCGAGGCGGTTCAGCCGAGCGCAGTGGGTTTCCCTCAACCCCACCCCCCGCTGTCAGCGTTGGCCTTACCTTCTAGATCCTCAGCATGCCCATCAACCCAACGGAGCCAGCGCATTGGTAAGGCTGACGACGGCCAGTCCTTGGTGGAGAAGGACCGCTGCTCTGGGGCTGAGAGGGCCACTGGTGGTGGCGGTGCTTCGGGAGGGCGAGTGGATATCCCAGTGTTGCACATGTGGTGCACCTGCCCTCCCGAACCACTGCCACGGTGGCACCATTTGCTTTCGTTTCGCAGCCGAAGGAAGAAAGTGAATGGCGCTGCGGCGGTGCTTTGGGAGGGCAGGCAGATATCCCGGTGCTGTACATGCAGTGCTCCTGCCCTCCCAAAGCACTGCCACAGTGGTGCCGTTCACATTCGTTTCATGGCAGGAGAAGGAAGAAAAAATGGCGCTGCCGTGGCGGTGCTCTGGGAGGGCAGGCGGATATCCTGATGCTGCACATGCGGTGTATCTGCCCTCCTGAAGCACTGCTGGGGTGGTGACGTTCGCTTTCGTTTTGTGATGGGAGAAGAAAGCGAACGGCGGCGCTGCAGTGGTGTTTTGGGAGGGCAGGCGGATATCCCGGGGCTGCTGCACATGCACACCGCTCTCCCGGAGCAATACCACCACCACCCCTCAGCCCCAGCCCAGTGGCTGCATCTCCACCAAGGGCCGCCCGCCCATCCACTGGCCGGGCTAGGCTGGATGACAACTTCAGAAGGCAAGCTGGTGTGGGGGACTGCCGGGAAGGCCACGTGGAAGTCAGGCAAGCATGGCAGGGCTGCGGGGAAGGGAGTAGGCTGTTAGCTCTCTTCCCCATGGCCAGGTGGCCCCAACATGCTTTCCTGCCTTCCACGCAGCCTTCTGCTCGGCTGCCTTCGCAGTCTGGCTACGGGGACACTGGGAAGGCCACATGGAAGACAGGCAAGCATGTTGGGACCGCAGGGAATGAAGTAGGGGAGGCAGGCTGGGAAGAGGAGGCAGGGGCAGCTAGCTTGGCCATAACTCGCAGGTTTAATTGGCAGGCAGATCAGAGCCGCTCAGTTGGGGCACAGCACTTCAGGCAGGCAAGCTGCAGAGTAGAGACTGAGGAGGGCAAGTCAAGTGAGCAGTGACTGGGCGACCAGTTTGGGGGTCTGGCCAGCCAGTGGTTGCTACCGGTTCGGCGACCCAGGCCAAATATCTGCTACTGGTTCGCCCAAACTGGTCCAAACCAGTCAAATTTCACCCCTGGTTTGAGGTCATTATCATATTGGAATACTGCCCTGTGTCCCAGTCTCCAAAGGAAGGGGATCATGCTCTGCTTCAGTATGTCACAGTACATGTTGGCATTCATGGTTCCCTCAATGAACTGTAGCTCCCTAGTGTTGGCAGCACTCATGCAGCCCCAAACCATGACATTCCCACCACTATGCTTGAGTATAGGCAAGATAGACTTGTCTTTGTATTTCTCATCTGATTGCTGCCACACATGCTTGACACCATCTGAACCAAATAAGTTTATCTTGATCTCATTGGACCACAGGACATGGTTCTAGAAATCCATGTCCGTAGTCTGCTTGTCTGAAGCAAACTGTTTACGGGCTTTCTTGTGCATCACCTTTAGAAGAGGCTTCTTTCTGGGACAACAGCCCTGCAGACCAATTTGATGCAGTGTGCGGTGTATGGTCTGAGTGCTGCCTCTGCAGCAATACTGGCAACACTCATGTCTATTTCCCAAAGCCAACCTCTGGATATGATGCTGAGCATGGGCACTCAGCTTTGGTCAATCATTGCAAAGCCTGTTCTGAGTCCTGTTAAAGCGTTCTATGGTCTTGGCCACTGCGCTGCAGCTCAGTTTCAGGGTCTTGGCAATCTTCTTATAGCCTAGGCCATCTTTATGTAGAGCAACAATTCATTTTTTTCAGATTCTTAGTTCATTGCCATGAGGTACCATGTTGAACTTCCAGTGACCAGTATGAGAGAGTGAGAGCGATAACACCAAATTTAACACATCTGCTCCCTTCACACCTGAGACCTTGTACCACTAATGAGTCACATGACACCAGGGAGGGGGAAACGGCTATTTGGGCCCTATTTGGACATTATCACTTAGGGATGTACTCTCTTTTGTTGCCAGCAGTTTAGACATTAATGGCTGTGTGTTGCGTTATTTTGAAGGGACAGCACACTTACACTGTTATACAAGCTGTATACTCACTACTCGCCACATAGTTTTGCCTTAAATTGAGAAATTGCCAATCAGCATTCACACCTTCTCTTCTAGAGGAGTTGATTGTTTCTTGCAACCAATACGTTTAATTTAAATAAAGTTTATGAAAGTTAAAGCCATACTGAATTTGTTTCTTCTCCATCTGATGTTTTGTTTTTTGATTCTTCTGGGGCAAAATCTTGAGCTCCAACCAAAACAAGTGCAAAGGGTTGCAGAACATTCTGAGTACTGCCGAGTTCTTCATTAAAATACACACACACACACACACACACACACACACACAAATATATTTGTTTTTCTTTCTTTTTTGTAGGTTTTATGTGTATTTCTCTTTAGCCAGGTTCTACCTATGTAAACCAAGATATTATGCAGCCCTAGTTCAGTGAATTGTGATTTCACTGAACTAGGGCTGCATAATATCTTGGTTTATGTAGGTAGAACCTGGCTAAAGAGAAATACACACACACACACGCGCACACACACACACACACACACAGAGCCTTGGTGGCACAGCAGACTAAAAGCGCTGTTAAGTAACACCAGCTGCCTGCAATTACTGCAAGTTCAAATCTCACCAGACTCAAGATTGACTCAGCCTTCCATCCTTTTGAGGTAGGTAAAATGAGGATCTGGTTTGTGGGGGCAATAAGCTGACTTTGTATAAAAAAGAACACTGCTGGGGGGGGGGGGAGCCGAAAGTCCTACTAAGCAGGTATATACAAAAAGTATGAAGACTATTGCTTAACGCATTGTAAACCACCCTGAGTCTACAGAAAAGGGTGGCACATAAATCGAACCAATAAATATATATATATATATATATATATATAAAAGCAAGAGAGCATACAAGTTATACATTTGTCTTGTATTATGTTTGCAAATCTTAAAAATAAGTACGTTAACATTCCCCTTGTTTTCAGCAACCATTTTGATTCGATTTTGGGATGTATAAAGCAGAGCTCACTATTAAGTGGTATAATTAGAGTGATATTGGAGAACATTTTATTTTCTTAGGATTATTCTCAGTTTGACAAAGGACAGGACTCTGACCTCGATTTTTCTACAAGTATCTTGTTATGAGGAATGGAGACCAATTAACTCTGGGTAAAACGGACTTGATGTTTTCGCGGAGGCCAGAATTAAGAGCATAAAAGCGGTGCTGCTGCAACAAAGTTACACTTTAGCTGGCAGCTCTTACAGGTAGTCTAGGCTAGGGAACTGAATCTACCTCCAGAAAGGCTCGAGGGCGGAGTTTATGCTTGCTCGCGTCTGAGCAAACTCTACGTAAGAAGCGGAAGGGTGGTGTCTACGACCGTAAAAGGGAATTTTTGAAAGAATTACTTAAGGCAGGTGGGAATTCGTTGCCTTGAGTTTCATTGGATTAACTATTGATAAAGAGTTTCTTTGAAAAGATATTCTGTTAGGTTTTTTTCCGAGAAAAAAAGGTATAATCTTGTAGCTATTTAGGAGGTTCCGGGGCGATATTCTAGCATGGTTGCAGAAAGGAAAAAAATGCAAAGAGCTGCAGGGTTGTTTTTTTCCTTGAAATTTGGTTCCCGAAGCAATAGAGTCCTCCATGTGCAGATCAAGAGAGTGGAAATTGAAGCCGACACCGAATAAGTAATAAGAATGATCATGTGGGAGATTCCACTTTGCCACGTGCCGTATGTTCAGAGTCGTGCAAAAGGAATTAAATAAGTGGTTTTATTTCCCCTCATAATGGTCTGTAGGGATTCTCAGTCATTCAGATCATGTTGTCCCAAAGGTGCTTTTTCAGGAGGCAACTGGACTTCCTTGTTTTTTTCTTTGAAGACGTTTCGCTTCTCATCCAAGAAGCTTCTTCAGCTCTGACAGGATAGTGTGGAATGGAAGTATTTATATTCCTTGCAGAAAAGCTTTCTTGGATAAGAAGCGAAACGTCTTCAAAGAAAAAAGAAAATCCAGTTGCCTCCTGAAAAAGCACCTTTGGGATTCCCTTCATAATCTTTTTAAAATGGCGTGCATTTAAAAAAAAAATGAATCTCACGCTGCTTTGCCCATCAAGTGAATCATTCAGCGATGAAATGCTTTACCCATTTAATTTCTACCTGGCATCTAATTCTTAAAAATACAATTGAAAACTCCGGGTGGTAGTTCTGCGAAAATAACCATCATAAAAATCAAAACGAGCGTTGCCTGGGAGGTTGTTATGTTGCTTTTAGAGGAGTTTTGTCGATGCGCCAACACAGAAGAGTTAAAAAAAAAACAACAACAACAAACAAAAAAAACCATTCCAGTCTTTCTGCAGAGAAGTTCCTCTGAATAAAGTTAAGCAGGGTCAGATCTGCTTAATACTTGGGACAGATGGCCACGAGGAAAACCCGCAGCTGTCAAGAGAGATATCACGGAAGCAAGCAGCAGAAACTTGGGTTGTTGTTGGGTTGGGTTTTTTTTTTTTTTTGGCAAAATAAATACCACACGCAATGTAACAGAAGCTTTCCCTTTCCAATTGTTCCCGTAAGAACTTTTTCTCCCACGCCTGGTAGAACTTAAATGTTCGGAACCGGAAGTGAGGACAATGCTCATTAGAATTTCTATGCCATCAATGTTCCATTAGTTGCCACTGAAGGAATTAACAACGTGGGGCGCTCTGGAACTCGGTACCTCAGTGGTTGGATAGGCCCCCACTGTCGATAGTGGGCGGAGCATCGTGATCCGCTCTGCCCACCTCTGTCGATGGTGTGGGAAGTCCCGGAAGCATAGCCGGGACTGTTGGCGATGATGGCGGAGAGTCCGGCTGCTGAAGAGGTTGTAGCTTCGGCCGCGGTACTGGCGACCCCGACAGGCGGAGGGTCGGGAGCCGGTGGCGGTGGCGGAGGCACCGGCGTCTTCCTACCAGCCGAGCTCTGGGCGGTAGCGGGGTTGGGTTCGGCAGGAGGAGGAGGAGGAGGAGGAGGATCTGGAGCGGGATCCGGAGTCGGTTCTGCAGGAGCCCCAGTGCCTGGGATTCCCCCTGCCGCCGCCGCTGCCGCCGCCGCCGCCGGAGTGCTCCTTTCCCATTCGGCCTTTTGGGACCCCACGACTAGTGGTGATTGGGACGGAGAGAGACCGAGCGCTGCCTGCCTGCTCCGCATCAAACGGTAAGGAAACTCCGGGGAAACGAAAGAAGGAAGTCGGATGTTAGTCATCCCGTCTTTCCCATTCGAGAATCCAGCCAATATCTGGCCAAACGCGAATTGTTACGAAAGGGCAGTGCTTCTGAGCATGGGCAGAGTGCTTAGTTCCGTCCCCCACCCAAGCCTTTCGCTTTGTGCCCTGTGGAAGCGGGGTTCACGCTTCCACACTTCAGTCCTGCTTGAAATATTATTTTATTTATTTATTGGTTCGATTTGTATGCCGCCGTTCTCCGGAGACTCAGGGCGGCTTACAATGCGTTAAGCAATAGCCTTCATACTTTTGTATATACCTGCTTAGTAGGGCTTTGCCCCTCCCCCCCCAGCGGTGTTCTTTTTTTATACAAAGTCAGTTTATTGCCCCCACAATCCGGGTCCTCCTTTTACCTACCTCGAAAGGATGGAAGGCTGAGTCAACCTTGAGCCTGATGAGATTTGAACTTGCAGTAATTGCAGGCAGCTGGTGCTACTTAACAGCACTTTAGTCTGCTGCGCTACCAAGGCTCTTCTTTTATATTCCTGCTGGTGATAGGTCGAGGCATTGGGACAGCTTCATCTGTTTCATTCCTGCATTTTCTTGTAAAAATACAGATCTCTAAACATATTAAATACAAATGGAATAAGCTTCTGATTACAAAAGCCTTATACTTTCCAGTCACCTGGCAATTCCCAGACTCCCTGAACACAAAAATCCAATGTCATTTGAACCTTAATGAAGACACTGAACGAAAATTGCTTTCATTGTAAAACTGACTTCCTTATTTTTGCGTCAGAAAGCAATTGGTATTTAACATATTTACAACTTCAGTTAAATTTCTACTAATGAGTATGTGCAAAGAATATATTCTGTGTATTTATAGCTGTCCAAGGAAGGAGAATTCTAAGCAGTGCTATATCTTTATTTGATTGCATATCATTTTATAGTCTTTTCTGTATGCATTTCGTCTTGCATCAACAGCTTTTAAAGGCAGGCAATCAGCATTATTTTGTTGTGGAGGTTATTGCCCAAGGACGTATGTTGAATTGATAGTAGAAATAGATCTGCATTCATGCCTCCAGTTTGCTTCTTTTGTGTACTGGTATTTTATTGTACATGTTTATTGTACGTATTGTCTGTGGAGTTCTTACTCAAATATTGCTTAATAGAAAACATTTATATGTTTAAAAGATGCCCAACATATCTATCCAGGTGTAACTAAAGGGTGCAGGTGAACAAAGATTTTTTGAGCCTAAATAGTTTCCTCTTTTAGTTAATCTTATTAAATCATGTCAAAAAGTGCAGTAGAAGGGAAGTCTCTTCCTTCTGTTATTTACCCAAGTACTAGTTAACATATTTCTTAGCACAAACAAGGCCACAAGTTGAATCTTTGCCTAGGCAATTAGGTGAGACTTGCAATGGAGATTCTGAAAAATGAGACATGTGAGGGCGGGGGGGGGGGGGGGGGGGGGGGGGGGCCCGGGGGGGGGGGGGGTTGTGGGGGGGGGGGGGGGGGAGGCCTTGGTGCTCCCTGAGGTTGGTTGTTTTCTTGCAGATGCTTCATTTCCCAACAGCTGCTAAGCAAAGTTTACTAGGCAGCTGGTTTTGTGTGTTCTCATATAATTAAAGTACACCTTTGTTTTAAAACAAAAAAGTGAGGACCAACTATAAAGGACAGTTTGAGGTCATTCCCATAATTAGACATACAAATACTTCAGAAATAGTTAACAGCAGTTTTATGTAACCACAGTAACAAAAGTTATATTGTCTTTGAATGTAGAGCATAAAAGTGAAAGTCAACTTGTAGAAGTATTTCTCAGAGTTTGAATGCCTCCAGGGATTTTGGCTGTTATTTTGAAACACATTTATTGTTTTAAAGCACTATTGATATGTATTTTGTACATTTGAGGAACGCAAGGCTCAACCTTTCAGTTTATTTCATACTTTAGTGAGAAGAAAGTAGTAACAAGTAAGCTGATGGGCAGCAACTTTCAAAACAGCTTGTCAAAATAGACACTTTTTTTGATAAATGTATGCTGACATATTGAGGGATGAGGAAACAGTTCCTTTTGAACAGGCGTGGGCTGTGATAAGTCCTTTCATGTTATGTTCCCACCCCCTTTGTGGGAGATCTCTTTTTCTCTCATTGTGTTTTGCACTTATATGATAGAAGGAGATGTGAATTACAAATAAGCAGAAACAGTTTACTGATTAACATGAGGTACTGTGTGACCAGAAGAAATCTTTATCTAAATTATGATTCTTAAATTTAGGTCAAATGTATTTGTTTTGGGCACTGTTTAGGGCAGACTTTGGACATATTTTTTTTTTTGCATTTTTAAGTAAGATTATTTGTCAGTAATTTAAGAGGAAACTTAATGGGTTGCAAAATAAGAAATATATTTGTATTTCTTTCCTAGGGATATCATGTCAATTTATAAAGAACCACCTCCTGGAATGTTTGTCGTACCTGACCCCCATGATATGACCAAGGTAAGTGGTATTCAAGTGCTCTGTAGTCCAACTAAAAGATTTTTCTAACAATTTTAAAGAAATGCTTCATAATATAATGACTTGGCATATGTGCACCTGTCATTATTGGAAAAACTGCTATAAATAGCAAAATGAGATTAATTTTTTGTAATATCACCTTAAGAAACTTTCAGTAATACTCATATTGTGTTTATAATGAGTAATTAATTGAAATGAGACAAAACAAAGGGAGTGGAGGCATTAAAATAGCAGTATATATATTGCCATTCTTAATATTTTTATGTTCTATGCATTGCTGTGAAAAATATAAAGCACAGGTTCTGCCTTTCAGATTTGCAGTCAAAAAGACAGAAGTGGATTAGAAAATTGGTGGTAAGGAGGAGATGAAATTGTGAAAAAGTGTTTATATAGAAATAGAACTGGGCCAATTTTTCCTTTGGTATTGATCTTTAGGAAGACATGTTTAGTCCTGTAGCGCTGATTTTTTTCAGGCATAAAATATTGTATGTTTATAAAAAAGTCTGAGGCATGGAGATACCAATTTCTTAAATTCATGAATGTGTTAAACACTACAGAGACTTCCTTTGATTTGAGTTCATTACAGAAAAGAAAAAAATAATTCTACAAGTCATTTAAGTTGTATGTTACTCATATATGCCCAAGGGTCTGCCAATGCAATGCAGAAGAATTATTGAGTCTGTCATTTGTACCTCAATAACTGTCTGGTTTGGCACAGCAACCAAATAGGACAGGTACAGAGTTCAATGGATAGTCAGGATTGCAGAAAAAATAATCGCAACCAGGCCTACCTTCCGTTGACAATCTGTATACTGCATGAACCAAAAAGAAGGCTGAGAAAATATCTACAGACCCATCATATCCTGGACATAATCTATTTCAACTTCTCCCCTCAGGATGCCACTATAGAGCATTGCATGCCAAAATAACTAGACACAGAGACAGTTCCCCACCCCACCCCACCATGCCATCACTCTGCTGAACACTTAATTCCCACAGTACTGCCTCATTTCCCATCTTTTCTCCTCATCTTTCCTATTATCTTCTCCTTTTGGTTTCTTATTCTTCTTATCAATTGTTGTTTGTAACTTATGATTAATGATTATAACTATGATTTATAAATAAATAATTCTGCTATGCTATGCTATGCTATGCTATGCTATGCTATGCTGTGCACGACACCACACCACATCACACCACACCACACTGTACCGCACCATGGTTAGAATGCAGTATTACAAGCTAATTCTGCTGACTGCTGATTGCCAGCAGTTCAGCAGCTCAATCCTGACCGGCACAAAGTTGACTCAACCTTACATCCTTCTGAGGTTGGTAAAATGAGGAACCAGATTGTTGGGGGCAATATTCTGACTCTGAAACTGCTTAGAGAGGGCTGTAAAGCACTGTGAAGCGGTTTATATTGTAAGTCTAAGTGCTATTGCTATTGCTAATGCTATTGCTATTGCCTGTTCTGTTCTGTTCTGTTCTGTTCTGTTCTGTCAGATTAAGCTATGTGATGGATCAAATTTTATCAAATACTCTAAGCACTGCCATTAGAACTGCAATGAAAATAACCTGTGAATCTGATTAATTTAGAATAATAAATACATAAAATAGGTAGTGGTAAATCTAATCGAGTAGCACTTATTTATTGCTATTGTGTTCTGCCTTTCACTCCAAAAGTTCTTTGATGTACATAGCTTCCCTCCCATTTTTCCCTTCAAAATGCCCTAGGACGAAAATTTGTCCAACAATGTTTAATGACCCTATATTTCCTAACAAGATTATGAATTAGAGTGGAAAAGTTGTTACACTCCATTGTTTTAAGCACTGGACACTGAATTTCAGCATTAGTGACAGTATTCTTGTTTTGACATGCCTGCAGTTATAACAGATGACTAGTTTTAAAAAAATGCTCCATCTCTGGTTTCCCCCCCAAATGCTGTAAGATTAAGGACAGACAGCAAGCCTCAATCTAATCTTTGCTGATAGTATTATTTTTTTTAGTTATCATTCACACAATTTTTAGTGTATATAGAGTCAAATAATGATTCACCAGTCAATTATAATAATTGATCTTACAATTGAATAGTGTGTCAATCCAAGGTTGATATACCCGTATTTCCTCGAAAATAAGACCCAGTCTTATTTTCTTTTGGGCTCCGAAATAAGCACTAGGGCTTATTTTCAGGGAATGTCTTATTGTTCCCCCATGTATGGGAGGTTCACTTCTTCTGCTTGCTTGCAGTGGGACAGGACGACGTGTGGTGCACCAGTGCCACTGCCACGAGGCAGGGGCTAGAACTGCCCCATGCGCCCCACACTGGTTTACCTGCCTTGCAGTGGCGGCTCCAGCAGCCCCAGCCAACAGGACCACACATGGCCACCAGCCCACTTCTTCTGCTTGCTCTCAGCCACAGTGGAACAGGAAGCTGAGCAATGCACCGGTGCCGTGGCCATGAGGCAGTTGGGGTGTGGATGGGATGGCTGCGAAGGCCTGAGGTAAGCTGGTGTGGGGCAGCTCCACCCCCCTTCACCTCACCTCGTGTCGGTGGCACCACGAGCAACCAGATGGAATGGCTGGCTGGCCGGCTGCACAGGCACTTAAGTAGAACTTATTTTGGGGGTAGGTCTTACATTAGGTGTGTGTAAAAACATGCTAGGGCTTATTTTTGGGATATACCCCTAAGGATCCCTTGGAAATTGAAATTCTCATTGAGGCATCCCCATATAAATTTGTGACATTCTACTAAGCATTTGGATTTTTGGAAGCAAATTCGGAATTTGAGTAAATGTTTATTTTCTTTAAAAATATATTATCCCATTTTTCATTCAGAAAGGTTTCCAGCGTGATTGATAAAAATTAAAACATTGCTTTTTCATGGTAAAGTCTTGCTGGGTTAACTAGCAGGGATGGAAATGACCATTGCACATTTTAAAATCAGGCCTCAGTGGAATTAAGTGTAAGCAATCCCATGAGGCAGTGTTCCTCAGAATGGCCCTAATGCAGCCAGCAGCTAAGGCTTTGCAATGACCATTTTATTTGATGATATGATTTCCAAGCAAAATTTAGAGCACCTGGGACAGATGCATGGGCGTTTGAGGGAAAAGATGGACTCCAAAATTAAAATCATATAACAGGTGAAGATAGAGTGGAACCATATTAAAACACATGTAGTAAATAAAACAGGTGAAGTAAAAAAGTTTTAAAATTCTATTTAAAAAGTAAACACTAGAATAAAATTTGTCTAATTTTAGTGGGAATTCTGCAGATGTGCAGTAGGTGCAGAACTGACAAGCATGTCTTGTGCTTGCCAACTATTAGGAACCTACAAGAATCATTTGACTGATCTTAAAAGTTAGACAGATTGAAGAAGGGAATCCTTCACATGTTCCCAATTCACTTAGGCTTTAAAGATCAAAACTATTGGTTTAATTTAATTATAGGTAATCCTGGGTTTAGGACCACAATTGGGAATTCTGGTCACTGAACAATACAATCGTAAAGTGAAATGTCATGTGACTTAGCAACTGTAATCCTAGTAATTCCTTTTGCCATCATTAAGCAAATGTTACCATTGTTAACAAAGGATCCACTCCAATCCATTTCAGGCTTGGGTCCTCCCACTTCTGAGTAAGGTAAAGGGATTCCTCTACTCACTATACCCACTTATTTCCCCTCCCCCCCCATTTCTGCCCTTTTGGCCTCCCTGCACCCTGTTTTTCATAGTGACAACCAGTTCCAGGACTGCATGGCTTTGGAACTGCTTGCCAGGTCTCAGAAAGCCGCAGCCACCCGCAGCCAATTGCCCTTGTCATCCTGAATTCTGAGAGCCCTGCTACCCTACGCTCTGCCATACCATCTTCTTGTTCCTACTGCTGGCTGGGCTGAGCTGGAGCTGGCTGCAAAGAAAAGACTTTGCCTTCCTTTTTTGCAGTATGAAGCCAGCTCTAGTTTGGTCCAGCAGACTGGCTAGCCATGTCTCAAAAGCAAGAGCAAGAAGAGGGTGAAAGTCAGCTGGGGTGACAGCGTGCTGGGTAGCTGGGGGCCAAAACGGTACAGACGGGGAGCTGGGCAAGTGGGGAGGTTGCAGTGCTCTTGCAGTCATAAGCACATGTGGGCTGCAAAGTACCCCAATTTTAATCATGACTGTGAGGGTGCTGCAGCCGCCATAGCTTCTGGCATGGGTCGTAAGTCTCTTTCTTCAATGCTGTTGTAACTTCGAACAGTCGCTAAATGAAGAGTTGTAAATCAGGGATTACCTCTAAGAAAAATAGAAGAAGCTAGAGAAGCTTCTTACGGAATTTTCCAGTGCATTGCAAAGCAGTAATATTTTTCACCGCTTCAACTAAATAAGTAGTAATGAAATCTGAGACTTGTACCGTTTAAAGAAGTAAATTTTTGAGTTTTTTTCTGACTGCTTGCAGAGAACCTTCTTTGCCTCCCCTGACTTGTGTCAGCAGCTGTTGGCACTGGGCAGGTGCTGCCACGATGCTTCCATCAGAAGTATTTGCGCAAGCCTGGGCTTTTCTCTTGCAGATTCATGCGTTGATCACAGGCCCCTTTGACACGCCTTACGAAGGGGGTTTCTTCTTGTTCCTGTTTCGCTGTCCTCCAGATTATCCTATCCATCCGCCACGGGTCAAACTGATGACAACTGGGAATAATACAGTGAGGTTTAACCCTAACTTCTACCGAAATGGGAAGGTCTGCCTCAGTATTCTAGGGTAAGGACCCATTCAGCTCAAGCTCTTTTCTAGGGGAAGCCCAGGTGGGTGTTTTGGAAAAGCTTATATGCAGATCTTTTTCTCAAGGACCATATGCGAATGTGTGTTTTTCAAAAGAATAGGGCAGAGGAAAAGCATGAGAATTACAGCACAGCGGGACCAAATCAACCACATAACTGCAAGGCATCCCTGGCCACAAGCTGTTGTTTCTCATCTTTTAATAAAGAGGCAAACTTGGAGCAATTAAATTTGCATATTTTTTCCCTACAGCCTTTGATCAGCTTTGTGCAGCCCCCCAGTCTTATGCCAGAGACAGTAGTACCCAGGGTCAGTGATGCTTCTTTTAACTTTCTAGGCTGCTGATTTTTTTTTTCAATCTAGCAAAAAATACTGTAAAACTTCTGTATGTTTGTTGGAATGTATATATACATTTGGTATATACATATAGAAAGAAAGAAAGTGCACACATACAAAAAAAATACATGTGTACTGTTTGAAACCACAGAGAAATTACTTCAAAAGATTGCTCCATACTCCTGTATGCCATATGTTTGTTTCTAGTTACTTGACCTTGTGTGGATCCAGTAGAGGAGAAGGCTTCTTTGGATGCTTCAGTGATATTTCTTTTCTTTTTTAAAGGAAAAAAAAAGATAAACTAGTTAAATAGAGATAAAGGAATCAAAAGTGGTTGTTGTTATAACTATTAAGTTTGTGACTCCTATCAATACCATGTTTGTATCCATTTCAAAGAAACAAGGTATATCTGGAGAAGTTTTGTTTGAATGTTCCAAAGCTAACTAATGGCAATACTCGGCTAACCACTGTAATTAGGACTGGAAACTCCCTTGCTAAGTGACATGATCATAAAGTATTATATCACATGACCACATTCCCAAGGGACGTTCCATTTGCTGTTTCAAATCCCATATGATCGTTAGGCATGATGTCACATGATCACCATTTGTGGCCTCCTGCTGGCTTTCATTGCCTTTACTTGTGAGAAGCTGGCAGTAAAGGTTGCAGATGGCAAGCATGTGACTGTAGGATACTGTGATATCATAATTGTAACCTCCAGAATCATGATTGCATGACAGCCACATCTGGTCATAAGTCTCCTCATTCAGCACCATTGTAACTTCGACCAGTTGCTAAATGAGGACTACCTGTAATTGCTTTCTGTAGAATGTTTATTAATTCACAAGCACAGGTACATTTGTAAGCTTTTAATTTTGTTAACTGTTTTGTTATGTGAAATAGAATGTATCAATTCACAAATCTAAAGACTCCAAATCCAGTTGGAGCCCAGATCAGTCCTTGTGCCATAAAACATCTAATGTGGAAAGCAGCATTCCTAAGAGCTGTAAATTCAGCCAAAGGAATTTGACTGAAAGACATCAAAAATTGATGTCTCTGTCAACAAGGAGCTCTATACATCCTACAAAACACAGATATTCTGTGCCTAGAGCCAGCTTTTATACTCATGGTGAATTAGTCTTTTTTTGAATTTTGGTCAAATTCAGATGAAAAAACAGTTCAGCATTCCAATTGGGCTGCAAGGTTTCAATTACTGCAGTATCCAGGTGGATCAAGATATAGAGCACACCTACCCCACATGGGATTGTGGACTGCTATCCTAGAAGTAGGATAGCTACTTCTAGATAGTTGCATTGGGTATCTTTAACACTGCTGCCTGTTACATGATCCTCCGTGTTCCCCTTTAAGAAATCCTATATACCAGTGATGGCTAACCTTTTTGCCGTCACGTGTCAAAAGCGGGGGAACGTGGGGGGATCAGTGCACACGTCCCCACACCCATACTTCAATGCTCCCCGCGTATGTGCACGTGACACCCCCCCCCCCCCCGAGCGACCCCCACTTTTGGCATGCGATGGCACGGTGGGACCGGAAGGCCTGTTTTTTGCCCTCCCCAGGCTCCATAGGCTTTCTAGTTTCCTGACTTCCTGTGGGCCTGGAAGGCCTGAAAATTAGCTGGCCGGTGCGCTCTGGAGCTGAGCTAAGGCAATGCTCACGTGCCCACCGATATGGCTCTGCATGCCACCTTTGGCACATGCGCCATAGGTTCGCCATCACGGCTATATACTGTTACTTTTCATCTAATGGTTTTTGACAGGAGATTGTTGCCAAAAATAATTTCCAGCAAGAACTAGGGGCTCTCCATATCCCACCCTGTTTAGGGACTTTCGGTACTTTTTTATACTTAAAGAGACAAATGATATAAACAATAACAATGGCTTGGTGACACATCTCATCAGAGACTTGATCATAACTTTAGATAGTGGAACTTCTGCCAAGGATAATTTTAGGGAAGATAGGGGTCTCTAATAGACTGTGCTTAGAGATGGTGTAATGACTCGAAACCCTAGATAAGCAATCCTTGCTTACTTATGTCCTGACCAGTATTTTCTATAATGCCCTAACCAGCTTTTGTACTATTGTATCATAAAAACAAAAGCATTCTAGCTAACTATTATTAAAATATTGAATTGTGAGATTGCATATCCAGTCCAAACTCTACAGTGAGTTGATAACCAGCAATCCTAGATTTGATAGGTTCACATCCCAGGATTTTGAAGGAGCTGGTACCCTGTTTCCCCCCCAAAATAAGACATCCCCTGATAATAAGTCCAATCGGACTTTTGAGCGCATGTAGGCCAAGCGCTTATTTCAGGGTTCAAAGAAATATAAGGCAGGGTCTTATTTTTGGGGAAACACGGTAGATATAACTTCGGAGCCATCTTTCAAAGATCATGTAATATAGGGGAAATACCAGAAAAGAGGTGATACATTTCCAATTTACAAAAAAAAAAAAAAAAAAAGGAAGGGGGAGGGAATGGATCCAGGAAATTATAGGCCAATCAGTTTAACATCAATATCTGGGAAATCCTGCAAAAGATAATCAGGCAGAGGATTTGTAAACACCTAGAAACAAACAAGGTGATTAGTAGAAGCCAGCGTGCCTTTTTTGATAAAGTAACTAAATTAGTGGATCAGTCATGTACATAGTACACTTGGACTTCAGCAAGGCATTTAACAAACTAGACTACAACCTACTTCTTGGTAAGATAGGGGATAGACCGTATCACCATCAGATGGATTTGTAATTGGTTGACCAACCACACTCAGTAGGTAATCATCAATGGAACTACATTTACATGGAGGGAAGCATGCAGTGGGGTACTTCAAGTTTCAGATCCAGGACTCTTAAACATCTTCATAAATGATCTAGATGAGGGGATAGATGAGGAACGTATTTGCAGACAACACCAAGGTGGGGCGAATAGCCAATACTTTAGAATATAGGCTCAAGATCCAGAAGGATCTTTACAGACTTGAACATTGGATCTATTCCAACAAGATGCAATTCTGTGATGAGAAAAGTAAGGTCCTGCACTTAGACAGGAAAACCCAAATGCATAGGTATAGTAAAGTAGTACCTGGCTTAAGGGTAGTAACAGTGAGAGGGAGAGAATGAGATGTCCTAGTAGATCAATATTTAAGTATGAGTCAATAAGGTGTTGCAGCTGCTGAAAAGCCAGTGGAGTCCTAGGCTGCATCAACAGCACCAAGAGAATGAAAAGCGATAATACCACTGTATAGTGTGCTTGTGAGACCACATTTGTGAACGAAAGCAAATATACATGTCCCAGGACCTGTTGCAGGATCTGATCTGAGTCTTCCAAGCTCTCAGACTTCTGCTGGAGCCCATCCTCAGGGAACTTGTCTCTGTTGGAATGTGTTCACTTTCCCTGTGGATGGGCTACAGCATGAGTCCGAAAGCTCGGAAGACTAAAGCTCTGGTTTTGGTTACCGACCCAGATTGGATCCTGCAGACCACACTTGGAATATGCAATCGTATGACAAAAGATTGAGGAAGCTAGGTATAATAGCGCCTCAACTTCAGGAGATTGGCTTATTTTCTAGGGTACCAGAAAGCAAAACAATAAATCATGGGTAGAAGCTGTTAAAGAGAGCCAACCTAGAAGTAAGGAGAAATATTCTGACACGGAGAGCAATTAATCAGTGGAATAGTTTGCCCCCTGGTGTTGTTAGTACTCCATGGCTGGAGGTTTTCAAGAACAGACTGGACAACCATTTGACTGGGATAATATAAGGGTCCTGCCTTGAGGATCTCAGGTCCTTCCAGCCCTAAGATAGTATGACTATGGCCTTAGGCCTAATAACAGAAGACTTTGACAATTAGTTCAAATCTGTGGTAATGTATCATTTCCAAACAGCTCAGAAAAGTCAGAGAAGAGGAGGCACACAACATATTAAGGTCTAACCTTACCTGTTGCTGACTTTGGACAACGTACTTATAGCCAATAATCTTCCCTAGAGAGAGTATTTTCTGATTAGGACTATATTACCTTAGGTTACTACATTGATTATTGCCTATAAGTAAGTTGTCAACAAGTGTAAGGCTAGACATTGTTGCTGGACAACATATATTGATCTTTATTGGTGTTTTTCTTATTCATGCTACCAGACATTTCAGGAATGTAATATTTTCTACTTTGTTTCTAAGCCTTGACAATCTTCAGTTTGACTTACCATTTTGTGGAGCTAGATACAGTGCTTTCGATTCAAGCAGAAAAAGGTACTTGAGCCTCTTGGAGCATTCACATGGCATTCATCTGGAGCTCTTTATAGTGAAGTGACATCTTTTCCTTGCATATATTAGGTGTCTTTTGCAGTGCCACATGATCCCAGTAAAACTTTAAGCATAACTGCTTAAAGACTTGTGGACAGGTATTACCTATGTGTCCCTGAAAGTTTTGAAGTATCTTTTTGCTTTTGAATCCCGGGAGCTATTTCCCCTTACTACATAATGTCTTTTTTATTTAGCTGGATTCATAAATGTGACAAGCTACATCAAAATACATTGAGGTTCCTATGTATCATTAAGAAATTATTTTGTGTTTGCATCTGTGGAAATAAGCTTTTTTTTTTTTGCTATCTCACAGCACATGGACTGGTCCAGCCTGGAGTCCTGCACAGAGCATTTCTTCGGTACTTATATCTATACAGTCTTTAATGACTGAGAATCCCTATCACAATGAACCTGGCTTTGAACAGGTAAGGAACCCCGATTTTGGATTATGTGGCTAATGGGACATTTTTTCATTGGGTAATTGAAAAGATTGGTGTAACATGTAGATTTAAAGAAGCTAGAGAAAGCTTGCAAAGCATGACTTCTAGATTTCTCCCCTCCCATTTTTTTAAATATAAGATTCAGTCTCGATTACATGGCCAAAAAGTAGGATGGAGAGGGGTTTAGAATTGAGGATTTATCAATGTTGCAATTCAGTATTGAACTATTATATGATAGGAATGCATTGGGGAAAATATTTCCTGTATTTTTTCTCTACTTCTCAATTCCATTTTCAAACAAAGAATACAAGAATACAAACACAAAATACAAAGAAATCTGGCAAAGTAGCACGATCTATTGGGCACCTAGATATTCTTTTAAATAGAGATTCCAATCCCAGACATAATGGGACTTCCAATTACGCATCTGCTTCCCAATTATAATTAAAGCCTATTATGTCATGAAAGATATAAAGAATTATTAAAGAGTTCTGAAGCCTTCATAGGATACTAAAGGACAAGGAACTTTTTTAAAAGTAAGGACTATGTTTCCATGGACCCTTATCAATGGGATTGCAGCTGGATTGGAGTTAGCACTGAGTGACCTTTCTTTCAGCTTCAAAATCTTTGAGGTAATCCCTGAATTAAGAATGTTCCCTTAGCAAATGTTCAAAGTTATGCAATAAACGCCCCCTAGTATTTATGAATAAGTCCCAAAACTACGAATGTTGCAGCACCATGGCAGTTGTTCACTCTTACAAATGACCGCACAGACTGCAACATTTGTCCTGCTATTTCCCCCCCTCCCCCACTGCCAGGTTTTCATAGGCACTAGGCCTGTGGATACTCACCTTGCGAAGATCTAGAGAGCCTTCTCTTTCTTGGCCTGTTTCGATGCTTCAGGCCTTTGGTGAGTATGCAGAGAATGGAGGCCTAAAGTATGCAGGATCACACAACATTAATGGTATTGTTCTGTCCCCGTACCACATGCACACACACCAACAGACGTCCAAGAGTTAAAAACCTGTTCTGTCCCCGTACCACACACGCACCCCCACAGACAGCCCGGAGTTAATAAGCCACACGACAAAACTCTTTGAAGATAAAGCTGGTAGCAACCCAGTGGCTAGCTGCCAATTCAGATTTTACTCACACAAAACAAAGATTAGACTGCAAGCATTCCGATAAAACAGGCAGAGTGTCAACAATACAAGGATTAATCCAAATGCAGTCCGATAAAGCAGGCAAAGTCCAGTAACGCAGAGATCATGAAGTATTTCCAGTTTTTGCTCGCCACAAACTGAACCGGCCACCACACCCACATTTATACCCTGTGGGGTGTGGTCCAGTGACTCAGCTAATCTCTGGCACGCCTTCCCCTCTGCTGCACATGCTTCTCCCTGCGCCTCTGTCGCGGGTCCAGCCAGCACTTATCTACGTCGTCGCTGTCCACCTGTGGCTGCAGGGACGTGCTTGGCTCTGAGCCTATCGTTTGGCCTTCGGTGTCCTCAGGAGGCATTGCCAGAGAGGAGGGCCCTGGAGAGGGAGGCCTTGCCGACTCCTCTCCCTCACTCTCAGAGTCTGCATCTGTCGATAGCCCAGGCTCAGGCAACGGAGCCACAACAAAACCAAACCAGCTGACAAAATCCTTTTCCTTATGATAATGGAACTTGGCAACAACCTAGTGGCTGCCTGCCAAGAGTTTATTACTCACGAAGGGAAGAGATAACTTCTCTCCGCTTCTGGTACATCAAAGTAAAATGTTCAATAATTACAGAGTGAATTAAGTCCAAAGATAATCCAGCAAAGCCTATAGGAAAAGTCTGGCAATGCAGAATGGCGTGGAAGCTTTCCGCTTTGTTCATCACAAGGCTTGATTGGCCACCACGCTCCCTTTTATACCCTGTGGGGTGTGGTCCAGTGACTCAGCTTAATCTCGGGCATGCCTTTTCTTCTGTTGAGCGCGCTTATCTCTGCGACGCTGGCGTGGATCCAGCCAAGACTCATTACTCTCATCATTGTCCACCTGTAGCTGCGTGGATGTGCTTGGCCCTGGCCTTATCTCTTGCCCTTCGGCGGACACCGAAGGCATTGCCAAAGAGGAGGGTCCTGGAGAGGGAGGCCTTGCCAACTCCTCTCCTTCACTCTCGGAGTCCTCTCCTGACGATGACACAGGCTCAGGTAATGGAGCCACAACAGGTATGAGATCTCATGCTACTGATCTCTCGTGATCTCACGGTACTTTAGGCCTCTGTTCTCTGCAAACAGAGGCTTGGATGAGATCTGCAGCAAAAGGCTTTGTAAATGGAGGGAAGGCCTGAAAAGTTGAAGCTTTCCCTCTGTTTGCAAAGCCTTTTGCCATTTTTGCAAAAAGCCTTTGCTGCCAAGAACAGAGGCCGGGAGGGACACATGCGTTACTCTGGAGCTCTGTTTTTGCCAGGAAAGGCCTTTCCTCAAGGCCTCTGCTGAAGAGAACGGAACCCCTGGAGGGAGTACCTGTTGCTCCAGAGCTCCATTCCCTTCGGCAAAGGCCTTGAGGAAAAGGTTTTTCTGGTGAAAACAAAACTGGAGCAATGCGAGCTCCCTCCAGGGCAAGGGTGAGATGCTCTCAGTTCGTACCGGATCGCCAATCCGGTAGCAAGGGCTGTGGGTGCTATCGGAGAACCAGTAGCAAAAATCCCTGCCCCCTCCCCCATGCCCAGCTGAGCCGCATGATTTTTTTTTTTTTAAAGCATTTTCTCTACAACCTCTTCGGCAGAAATAATGCTTTTAAAAGTAAAAAAAAAAAAAAGCCTCTGCCGATCAGACAACTCAGCTGGGATCATCAGAGGCTTTTAAAAGCATTTTTTTACAACCTCTTCACCAAAGAGGTTGTAGAAAAAATGGTTTAAAAAAAAAAAAGTTGGCCACGCCTACCCAGTCACATTAACCCCCCCAAGCCACGCCCACAGAACCGGTAGTAAGAAATTTTAGATTTCACCACTGCTCCAGGGGCTCTGTTCTCTTCGGAAAAGGCCTCCTCCAAGCCCTATGGGGGCATAAGTACTTTTCGGCCAGAGGCTGAAAGCTTCTGGGGGCCATGATCTCTTGCAACTTCAGGCACACATCCACTTTTGCAGAGAATGGTTACCTGAAGTCTCATGAGATTAGGACATCTAGAAGCTTCCATTCTGTGCATGAAAAGTTTTTTCATGCCAGCAGGAGGATTTAAAGCTTTGGAGTTGAGTCACTGAGGCTGCCCGCCATTCCACAAGTGTCAGGAAGCCTTGGTGAATTAGAGAAGCCGAGCAGGGTGCTCGTCCTGCTCTCCCTCTGCTCTCATCGCTCACAAGCAAAGAAATGGGCTGGAGAGGAAATAGATCTTCACAAGGTAAGTAAAGGATGGGGAGGAGCAACAGGGGAGACAGAATGAAGTATCTCAGTGGGTTGGGGGAGGCTTTTGGTGGTCTGAAGCAGGTGGCTTGTTCCATCACTAGGCCACCCCATGGCCTCCCCCACCCTGAGATATCTAATGTGCACTTAACGAGCCGCACATTTGATTAGAGAATGCGTAGGTGAAAGGAGGGAGTGATCGCATTCAAGTTATGCAATTCACTCCTACGAATCCTTATAAATGGAATGGGCAGGCTCCATTACATTCGTAACTCGAGGACTACCTGTAACATAATTTCATATAATAGTATTAAAATATCTCAAATACTTTGGCCACCTAATGAAAAAAGAAGACTCATCAGAAAAGACCCTGATGTTGGGAAAGGCTGAAGGCAAAAGGAAAAGGGCATGGCAGAGGATGACATAAGTAGGGTCATCAGTGCAATGAACATGAATTTGGGCAAACTCTGGGAGACAGTGGAGGACAGGTAGGCCTGGTGTGCTATGGCCCATGGGACTGCAAAGGGTCAGACATGACTTAGCGACTAATAACAAAGGAAAGATTGTATACTACTTTATAATGATTTTGTGTGTGTGTGTGTGTGTGTGTGTGTGTGTAGGTCTTTGGTTATTCGGGTTTTCTCCCGCGTAAAATTGGAGGTGTCTTGGCAACATTTCGACGAAGTCTCCTTCGTCATCTTCAGGCTGGTGTTTTCGGCTTCGTGCTGCTAGGAGCAATGTGAGATCGCAGCTGTTTCTTCCTTTTAACTGCTAGTGGGGGTGTGAACTGATTGGGTGGGAACTTGGCTGTGTTCTGATTGGGTGGAGGTGTGTTCTGATTGGTTGGGGGTTTGGCTGTGCTCTGATTGGATGGGGGGGTTGGCTGTGCTCTGATTGGATGTGGGTGTGTTCTGTTTAGGTGGGGGCTTGGTTGTGCTCGTGTTAGTTTGAGTTGCAGGGGGATTTGAGCTGGTGAGCTGCATTGCTGTTGTTTGGCTTCTTGTTCTTGGTCGTGCCACATCTTCATGGTGGGTGTCAGTTTGCTTCATGTATGGATTGGAGGGATTTAAAGTGGCTAATGATGCAGCTGGGTCTGGCTTCTGGTTTGTGGCCGTGCTTCATCGGTGTGGGTTTGCTTTTTACGTGGATGTGTGGTGGTAACATCCTGTGTGGTTTTCGTGAGTATGGGTCTGGTGTCATTCTTTGTGTTAGGGACTCGTTGTCAATGAGGGCGGGTTTCCAAATGGCTGGTAGGCGGGAGGTATCATCTCGTTTATTCATGCTGTGTGGGCGTTTTTCTATCTCGATGGCTTCTCTGATTATTCTGTTGTTAAAGTGTTCAGTTTTGGCGATAGTTCTGGTCTTTTTAAAGTCAATATCATATCCTGTGGCTTTAAGGTGTTGGACCAGGGAAGAAGTTGGTTCCTCTTTTCTGACTAAGTTCTTGTGTTCTTCAGTGAGTGCACTTATTCTTCTGTTGGTTTGTCCGATGTATGTGGTGGGGCAGGCGGTGCATGGGATTTCATATACTCCTTGATTTTCTAATTTTGTCTTTGGGGTTTCTTAGGATGGTGGATATTTTTTGGTTTGTGCAGAATGCTGTCTTGATGTTGTGTTTGTGGAGGATCTTGCTGATTCTGTCTGTGGTGCCTTTTATGTATGGGAGGAGGGCTTTGCCGTTTTCTTGTTCTCTGTCTTGGATTTTAGTGGGGGTTTCTTTTTGGATTAGGTTGGTAATCTTATTTCTTTGGAATCCGTTGGATGTTAGTATGTTAGTGAGAGTGTATAGTTCGGTTTTTAGGTGTTGTTCGTCAGCTAAGCGTTTTGTTCTGGAGATGAGTGTCTTGGCTACGGAGTTGATCTGTGCTGGGTGGTGGTGTGAGAGTGCGTGCAGATAGCGGTTTGTGTGTGTTTTCTTCTGGTAAATGGTGTGTCCTAGTGAGCCATTGGATTTTTTGTAGACTAAGACATCCAGGAAGGAAAGTTGGTTGTTAGCTTCTGTTTCCATGGTGAACTATATTTTGGGGTGTAGACTGTTGAGGTGTGTGAGGAAGTTGTCCAGTTTTTCTTTCCCAATCAGAACACAGCCAAGTTCCCACCCAATCAGTTCACACCCACACTAGCAGTTAAAAAGAAGAAACAGCTGTGATCTCACATTGCTCCTAGAAGCACGAAGCTGAAAACACCAGCCTGAAGATGACGAAGGAGACTTCGTCGAAACATCGCCAAGACACTTCCAATTTTATGCGGGAGAAAACCCGAATAACCAAAGATATATATATATATATATATATGTTTTCTGAGGTTTTCGCAGATGTGTGTATGTAGGTCTTTGTTAATCGCTCCTAGAAGCACGAAGCTGAAAACACCAGCCTGAAGATGATGAATGAGACTTCGTCGAAACGTCGCCAAGACACTTCCAATTTTACGTGGGAGAAAACCCGAATAACCAAAGACACACACACACACACACACACACATACACACATAGGCATATAATTCTTGCATCCAATTTTTATTTTGCTTTTTGCTGAATTGTTTATTTTCATGACAGTGGGATTATGTTGGTGGTGCGGTATATTGTGAATAATTCTTATTCTGTTTGTTTGTGTATCATAAGTGGAGAGATTCTCATCAGTTGTTGTTTTGTAGGAAAGGCATCCAGGAGACAGTAAAAATTACAATGAGTGCATTCGACATGAAACTATCCGCATCGCTGTATGTGACATGCTGGAAGGGAAATGCCCTTGTCCAGAACCTTTACGGTACGTTTGGAGAGACATCATGATTTAACTTGCAGGTTCACTTTCTATACTCCATTGAAAACCTCAGAAAATATATTTCTGAATGAGGCTTTGCCCGTTTCTGGGAAAATTGACAATATAATCTTCACCATTTGAGTGTTCAATCTCCACTGCTTTTATAGCCACATAGTTAATATTCTAGGAGATTCTGCATGCCACTCTAGAAGAACTTTGCAGTTTTATAATATGGTTTCTCAGGCCTTTACCTTCCACTTACATTGAATGTTGGCTAAGGGTGATGGCTGTTCTAATTCAACCTATTTAGTGTGTATCAGATTGAGGAAACCTGGTTTAGGTAAGTAATGAGATTGCAGTGTTTAGATATGGCAGTTCTTTTCTTTTTTTGGTCAAGATGGGAAAAAGGATTAGATCTAGGCAAAAAAGTTTGGTAGGGATCAAAGAAATCCCATCACATAACATCTGACTGGTGTTTTTTCCTCTTTTTTATGAGTTTAAAAGTTCAGATAATTATAAGTTTCATGTTGATATTTCTTCTTCACAATCTTAGGCCTTTAGCAAAGCTGTTCATTCCCTCTTCCACATTCCAGTCATTTAATAGAAATGTGCTAATATCAGGTTCAATTTTGGTTTCTTAATGACTGCACCAGCACCTTCACTTTTATAATCTTCATTGTGTTTCCATCCCAAAAAAATTAGAACAATTTATAGAATGTTTGAATGATTTATATATTAAGGAATTTATATATGAAATATATTTGTGATCCTTCACTGATGAAAGCATTGCCAATAAATCAGTGTTTTCCAACTGTGTTCTCCAGATGTATTTACAATAGCCATGCTGGCTGGGAATTCTGACTGTTGCAGTCTATCTGGAGCTGGTTCCAGAAATGTTGGTACAAGTTGTTTTCTGAGACACACCTGAAAGTGGGTTAATTAATGCAACTAATGCAATTAATGGGAACATGCAAAATGCTCCTCTGGTGTTAGGCTAATTTAAAATAATAGACTTATAATAGACTTGTCTTGAGATTATGAAGTTAACATATTTTGTCAAAACAAAATAAAAGCACAGATCAAACTGGAGATGCATTCATTCCTATTTTAGTACTTGTGGTTCTTCAAACTTAGCTCTTGACATGTCTAAATCAGCACAGTTTGTTGTTCTCTAAACCAGGGGTTCCCAACCAGGGGTGTAAGACGATATTCCAGAGGGTGCAAAAACTTGGGTTTAGAAGTTTCAAAATTATGGTGCATATGCATAATTATATACATATAATTATTTATTTTTGTAAGGGGTGTGAGAATATATTAGAAGTGTTCTAGGGGTGCGGGGTATAGAAAAGGTTGGGAACCCCTGAACTAAACAAACAAAAAATAAAAACTTGTTTTTTAGATTTTCATATAGTAAAGAAGCAACATTGAAGGACGTAATGTTATGGATTTTTTTTTTCTTCAAGTCAACTTTGGAGTAACAGACTAGCATGTAGCAGCACACTTGCTTTGAATGATAAAACGGGATTCTCAGAATTTTGCCTTTTTATTTATACAAACACAGCTATAAATAAATACTGAGGTTATTTTTTTTTTTTTGAAATAAATTATCTCTGTATAGTGAAAACAATCATTGTTTTTACTCTTAGAGAAGAAAATAGTGTGGTCGATATATATATTTAGTTATAGGTAATAAACATAAATGAAAGGCTAAATCTGCCCTTGCACTTCAAGTCTTAGGAATATTATGCATAATGGGAATACCCTTGTTGAACAAACTGTTGTTTTGTGTCTGTGGGTTTAAAAAAATAGTTTTAAAACTGGGCATTAACTCTTTGATGGGAAAAAATGGCTTTATTGCTGGTGGGTCTCATGCTTTTTCATTTTTTTTCTACTAGTGGAGTTATGGAGAAGTCCTTCATGGAATATTATGATTTTTATGAGGGGGTATGCAAAGAGAGGCTTCACCTCCAAGGACAGTCCATACAGGTAAGGACGAGATGATGTGTACATGTTGACTGGCAAGTAAGATTTGTTAGAACACTAGCAATAATCAGGGATTGATTTCTCATCTTCTGATCTGAGAAAGTAATTTTTTCATTCAGCAGAACTTTTTTCTGAACAGATAAATCCTATCGTTTTACCCACCAAATGTATTAAAAGATAAAAATAAAATACAGGTAGCCTTTGATTTATAACAAGTCATTTAGTGACCATTTGAAATTACAACAGTTTCAGGTTCAGTTCAGTGTTGACAAAAGTGCTGGAAAAAGTGACTTATGACCATTGCAGCATCACATGACCAAAACTCAGATGTTTGGCAACTGGCATGTGTTTATGACAGTTGCAGTATATCAGGATTATGTGATCACCTTTTATGACTCTCTGACAAGCAATGTCAGTGGGGAAGCCATGTTCATTTAATAAGCATGTTAACTAAACAACTTTGCAACAATTCATTTAACAACTGTGGCAAGAAAAGTTGCAAAATTGGGCAAAAATTATTTAACTGTCTTGTTTAGCGAGGGGCTCAATTATGGTCATAAATTGAGGACTACCTGCATTAACAAAAAATAAATCTTTACAACCTATTAGTTTCCTCCCATGCAAAAGTAAGAAATAAAAATATTTACCAAATGTAAATTAACTTCATAACTATCATTGTCTGAATAAAAATGCCTTTGCTGGCCTAGATTAACACGATGTATGAGAAGCAAGAGCAGCCCCCAAGAACACAATATATTCCTCTCAAATGTCACCCTATACTGCGAAGGCAGATAGAAATAGCACTAGCAATAACATTTAGACTTATATACCACTTCACAGTACTTTACAGCCCTCTCTAAGTGGTTTACAGAGTCAGCATATTGCCCCCAGCAATCTGAGTCTTCATTTTACCCATCTCAGAAGGATGGAAGGCTGAGTCAACCTTGACCGTGGTGAGATTTGAACTGCCAAATTGCAGTCAGCTGGCAGTCAGAAATGTGGATTTACAGGCAGCTGTTACGTATAAATTGGGTTGACAAAATCAGAAATGAGGAGGTGATAAACTGCCTGGGAAAGCCAAGGGAAATTATCAAAACCATAAAAGAGTAAAAGTTAGAATATTTTGGTCATGTGATGTGATACCCAGAAAAATACAGCATACTTCACTTAATCCTCCAAGGAAAGAGTAAAGGCAAACGAGGTCCAGGCAGAAGAAGACCATCATGGATTAGATAGAAAAAGCCAGTAGCTAATAGAGAAGAGGTTTACAGTAACTTTCGGTCTACTATCCTAACATTCCATGTGTTTGGGAGGGTTTTTTAATATATGGGTAGAGTTTAGGATATGATTCCCTCATGTGTATTTGACTGGCACAATTTAGCATTATGTTACTTTAAAATATAGGATTGTTTCAGTCAAATGGAACAGGAATTATTATATGATTTCAGAGAAGTTTTTCTGCAAAGCAGAATTTGCAAAAGTTGCCTGTTCTACAAACAGAAATTAATTTCAAAACACAAGAGAATTTTATGTGGGAGACCCAAATCCCTTCTTGTGGGTCCTAGGGCTGAGCTGCTAAATGATAGTGGCATGATTATTAAAAATTAGTGGTTCCTTTCCAGCAGTTTTGAAGAATAAACACAAAAGTGTAGCATTTGCCTGAAAATTTGTTTACCTCCTTTTCCAAAAGAAGAAAAACTCTGCTTCCAAAAAACATCAGGAAAAAACCCCCAAGGATCATGGCCACATTTATGTGACATGACTGTGCCTATTTTGGACCATTGCTTTTACTCTTTCCACCATATGTAAAATACGAATCTATGCTCACCAAAAAAGTTGCTTGGCCCCAGTATAAAAGGACCTGGTCATTGCATTTTCTGGAGTTCAGGAAGTTTGTTTAGGGATGCCATTTTCTTCACAGAAGAGCCATCCCAAGCTTTACATTTTTGTACTGATCATATTTTCTCAATGCAAGATCCTAGCTGTAGACTGTTGATTTGATACTGATATTAGTCAATATTTTTGGTACTGACAACCTCTTTAGTAATTTAGCCATTGGCTGTTGTTCAGCTCACTGTTCTTCTATTCATGCTCCTCTTAAAGTTATTGTGCAAGAATTTTTTGGGTGAATTCTGTTTTTAGACCATAGCAGCATCTTAAAATGCAGGCTGGATATATACTCGAAGTTTCCATTGTAGATAAGCTATATTTGGATTTACAGGACGCCATTGAGGATTCACATCAGGTGTGAGCACAGACTGGCTGGGAATACAAAGCATATTAAGCTACCTTGTGTTTGGCTAGTTGGTGGCTCAATATGTTGTTTGAATTAAGTCAATATGGTTATTGTCATGTGGTTCAATGCATTATGCAAGTTAGTTCAAATAAATCATAGTTAAATTAGCCTTTTTGCTCTCCCAAAAGCTCTCCCCAAAAGCTCTGCTGCCAGATCTCTTCCTTCTCTCTTTCCTTCTTTGAAGCAACGATTTAGAAAGAGCCCAATCTGCAGAGATTTCAGTTTTAAAACTTTCCTTTTGGAGTAAAGGCAAAAAAAATGATTGAAGAAGCTTGATGCAGGGAAGCAAGGCCAAAACCAGCCTGCAATGTTGTCCAGAACAAATTGTAATTATCAATGTAGAAGAAAACACTGCTTGAATAAATAGAGGATGTCAGAGATAGCATTCTACTGCAGGAGCAAGGATGTCATCAAGAATGCCAAAGCAGCTGGGGAATCAGAACTGGCACCTAAATTAAAGCCTAATTCAGAAATTCTGAACCCACCAATTAACATTTCGCACAGAATTTACATATCTCTTTCCAGCTTTTTCAAACTCTCTTCATTTGTTAATATAATTTAGAGTGAATAGGGAAGAGTTATTTTATTGCTGGAATAATTAACTTGATGGATGCTTAAATTCTTTTTGATTTACTGATCTGCCAATGATGCTGAAATCTGCACTTTTCCCCCCCTTTTCAGGATCCCTTTGGAGAGAAGCGAGGACACTTTGACTACCAGTCCCTTTTAGTACGTTTGCAAGGAATCCGCCTGAAGGTTCAGGAGAAGCACCAGCAGGAGAATCCAGACATAGACTCAGAAAGCAGCTCTTCCGAAACAGAAACAGACACTCAGGGGAGCATTAAGATTTAGATGCCTCCCACCTGATTACTTGGGAATCCAAAACGTGAGGGTGGGATCTTCCAACTCCAGGTGCTGTGGAGGACCCCCGAAAGACCTAAGAACTGTTTAGGTTCCAGAGTGAGCACACAAGTGGAAAAACAGCCTTTTGTTATCTCCATCAAGCGCTCTGGTACATCCTGTTAAAAGAGCTAAAACCGAACTGGGCTTGTGAGAGGCTGAATTTTAGAAATGACCCTTCCCTCTGCTGGAGACCTCTGAGTGAATGACATGCAAAAAAAAAAAAAAAAAAAAAAAGCATTTTGGAAAAACCTGTAGGCAGGTTTATGTCTCCCTTTCCGCCAATTCTCAAAGAGCATGAGATAAAGCATGGCTCCTTGTTCCATTGTCCTTGTTTCATAAATGTACTGCATATTCCTAGCACTTCCCTCCCAGCTTGTTTCTACACCTTGATGGGCTCCCAGTAATTGAGTCTGTTAAAGCACTTTTTGACTATTTGTACATCACATCCTATTTCTTCAGATCTGGTGCACTGTAGCTTCCCAATTGGTTTGATGCTGCCTGTCTTAAAGACAGACCAAAGAGGAAGAATTTCTGCTGAAACTGGGCTTCGTGTTTTGTTTTGTTTTGAAGTTTCCCCAGCTTTATTAAATTCTTGTTTTCCTGACTTTCACCCAAAGTCCAGACAGGAAAGGAGTAAAACGCAACCCAGGAAAAGAATAAAAATTCATGTTTTAAGCCTACTGTACAAATCTTCAGGTTTCCAAAGCAAACTTTACTTTACCTCATTTTACTGACCATTTTTGATGGCCCTAAGGGAGAAAAAAATTCTCCTTTGGCGAGATGGATATAATTTTGGAGATGCATTATATATAGTGTGGGAGAAGTAATGATTGCAGAACTGAAGTACAAATAAATGCAGTAGCACCAGCAAATTAGCATGTTTATCTGAAGTAGCTTTAGCTTCCATGCTTTATTTTTGGGAGGCAGGGAGAACATACCTAGGAGTTTTGTGACAGAGAAAGAAGAAATACAGTCAATGTCTTTTAGACTATTAAGCTTGGGGAATAAATTGTTGAAACTATCCAGTCAAAGGATCAGGTCTTATTTTAATAAGAATTTATTGAACCTGAAATATGGAGTTGCACGGTAGCGGATGAGTTTTTCTATAAAATCTATCTATACAGAATGGAGACTGCATCTACGATATAGAAAAGATTGCATCTACAATATAGAAAAGATTCCAGATTTCTGAAGATTTTTAAAAATCTTTCTAGAGAAAATCCAGAAGATTTAGCACTTTTAGAACTGACTCCAAGTCTTTAGAAAATTGGAGGAATTGATGTTAATTATTGATGCACATTGATCTGAAGCAGGAGCCATTCTATAGGAAAGACTGCATTCAGCCATCAGCCTAGTAATGTACAGGGTACCATGCTTGTACCTGCCATCCATCTCACCTCTCCCTTTAAACATCCTGTACATTCATAGACAGTATCCTTCCAGCTGTTCTTGTACGTGGCATTTTGCTCAAAATACCATGCAGTTTTGGGTATTGGAAAAATCAATTACACCTAAGAACAAAGTAGAATTCTTTCTCTCTCTTTCCTCTCCCCCAAAAGAGTCTGTCCAAGGGATATGAATAGCTGGTGGTATCTGGAAAAAAACATTGCAATACAAGTTTACATGTAGATGCCTTGTAAAAGGGAAGGCCTCAAGAGGCATATTTTATCATGTTCATTTTAATCTCTTTAGAATCCAACAAAAGTCAGATTTACTTATTCTCTTCTCACTTCCCTCAAAATCAAAGGGATGTAATTTTTAAGTCCTGCTGGAATCAGTGAGACTTAGGCCTTATGCACTCTGTGCCAACTGAATAAATTTGGCTATTCACTAGGGCTAGAAGTGCTTCTGGATTAGAGCACTATGATTTCAAGGCATCTTAACTCCAGATGCATGTTGGCTGTTGGAAGTATTGCATATATTTCTTTAAAACAAAACATGAAAAATGCCTTATGTGATTTTTTTTTTTTTTTTTTTGTGGCTCGCATGTGGGTGTAAGAAAAAAAGGAATCCGATTTTGTAGCTGCCCATAATTATCTGTCTTCTGAACGTTTCCATTTTAAGAAGTGACAATCCTAGATGACTGATCTAGACAAATGTTAGTGACATAATTTTAGATCTAACAAGCTTAAGAAAAAAAAACATGCACAAGGGTCTTCAAATAAAGAAACCTTGTTTATATACAGTTGTACGTAAGGGTTTTTTTTTTTTTTTTTTTTTTTGGTGCAATAAAGTTTGTTTTGGCAGGATCTGGAATTCAACTGTGTCCTATCTGAAATGTAAAACTGCTACCTACCCATCACATATGTTACAGAGACTGAAAGAACAACTATCTAAATATACTTAATGTATGCTATTTCTCCAGGATTATTACCAGATCTGCAATGATGGGATTTCCTACTGGAAGCTAGATTGTTCAGCTCCGGTGTATGATCTTGAAAGAGTTCTAAACTCTGTTCTTCCAAAAGCAGTGGAGATAAAAGAAAAATCCTAATCAGCATTCTAAAGAAGTCCAATTGCAAAATCCAGATGACATAAGAAATATGTGTATTAGATGTGTGTAACTGATGTTCTTAGGGCAGCATATAAACACTAAATCCCTTGGTGCAACCATTCCTAAAAGGCTTCCAAAGATTGTGTGGCCAAAGAAAGAAAATACAGACCTGGATAATAATCATGTGACCTTGCGAATATATGAAATGGAAGCACCTTTTTGGTGCGTAACTTTCCAATTCAGAAAAATTGCCCAGAAATACATTGAGCCATAATGCTTTCCTAGGCAAATTGCAAAATTGTTTCACATTATATTGCTCAAAGCCATAATGCAAGTTTGGTTTTGGCTTGTTAAATAGGTTTTCCATGCTAGTTAGATGAGTTGCACAAGAGAAAGGGAAAAAACCCCTCTAACCTGCCATTCACTCTCATTTTGACAGTAGCTGTCACCAGCATTTGCAAGTATTGAACAAGAAGTGACTGATTGCCTTTCTATTTGTGAACACAAAATTTGACTCCCTATCACAAATTCCCCCAAAAAAAGAAAGAAAAGAAACTCTGATTCTGGATGAATGATTGTGGTGATTCCCTCCCTTCCACTTCATGTTCCACACTATAGACAGTATTTGCATGTATGTGAATGTGTGGTTAATATTCAAGGGCGTTTCCTATATACATACCTGTTTAGGAATTAATCCTATTGAGCTCGACAGAAATTACCGGTGATAAAGAAATTTAGGATTATATTGTTCGGCTGCAGTACATGTATACCTGAAATTGCTCTGGAATGCAACTTTCTCCAGAGCAAACTTACAGAAGTGTGTTTGCAAAGGCAATAGGAAGGTGGTTCTTCAGTGGCTTCAGGCAATCACAATGAAAGAAATCCATGCCATCAATACTCAAATAGACACGTGGTATTTTTTTTAAAAAAAACGTATAATAATAATAATAATAATAATAATAATAATAATAATAATAGTGTTCCAGATACCAGTAACTGGTTATAAACTAATATAATTTCAGGGAATACAGGAAAAAAAAGCTAAACAAATTCCAGTACTCTTGGGTGTTGCTTCTTTTTATGACAGAAATTAAACTCAATCACAAATAAGAAATTGAAGCATCAGACTTTTATCAAGTTTGGTTTTTTTATAGTCTTCAAAACAAGCTACCAGATGTACAGTGCATTGACTGCAAGCAAATACTGGCTAATCTGAATCCTGAAAAATTATAAGGCATCTGGAAACTCTACATTCCAACCTGAAAAATAAACGTTCTATTTCAAAAAAGTTGTGCATGAAAAGAAAATGGCTTTTTGTACATTTTAGGATAACAAGAAAAATGCCCAAAGCACTGATCTGCTTGGTTAATAAGTTAATCAAATTAATGTGAAATTCAGAATTTATTTTTTGTACATTGGAAATATTAATTTTGCATTCAAAATAAACAGTTTACTATTCATTTTATTGCCAATGTTCTATCAGTATTATTTCACCTTTTGATAGGGAATTCAGGGGAATTTTTTTTCTTCACTAAGAGGCTGAAGTAAAATGTACCTTAGATTGAGTTCCTGCACTACAGGATGACTTTGTCCAGTAATTTTTGTGTGACGTCATTAGCCTAGTGTAACATCAACATCATTGGATAGGGCATCAATCTATAGTAGGCCAACTCTGCACATAAATTATTCCCAATAAATTTTCCCTTGCATTTTGTATGAAGTCGTAAGATGATTCTTAGGATGTTAAAGGAAGCAGTTTCTTCTTCCACGTGGCATGATCTGTGAATATAGCTACAGAAAACTCTTTTACCAGGCTAAGTGTAACTTTTCAGTCATGAGTAGTAAGTCCTCAAATAAGTTTAATCCCGACGGTTTTTTTGTATCCATGAATTATATTCAGAACATAAGCTTGTTATTTTATGGAAATCAGTAAGACTTCAATGCAGTCAATGGTTTTTCAAATGTTGATAAAGTTTTATATCCACAAAATGAAGTTTAAGACATAGCTTTATGAATTTCAAATTTGTATGTGCACTGCACAAATATGGAAGGGTATATTTACTGTTTACAGATTTCAACATGCTAAGGCACAACATGGTTACAGTTGTGAAGGTATATTTTCACACAGTATCTCAGGTCAGAGAAACCCTGACTGCCTGAATGGCTGAAATTGGACTAAGCATTATCCATGACTTTCTAAACTGTCTTTCCAGATACTCTTGCTTTTTTTTTAAAAAAATGAAATTGTGGAAACCTCCAATGATACATAAGTTGGAAATAACAATAATAACAGTTTGGTCCTTTACCCAAAATCCAAGTAGCAATAAAGAAGTCCTGCTGTTTCATCATACAGAAACAAGACTTACACAGAATCCTTTACAAGTGAAGGTATTCCATATGTACTGTATATAGCTCAGTCAATAAACTACTCAACAATCTTGGGATAAGCAAACAAAAAGAAATCAAACAGTTTTAGCATCTGAGATCAGTCCTCATTCTAAACATTTACAATAGAAAGAAATAAAAGGCTACAATTTTGGACAGACTCCCTCCTGCTGTCTCATCCCCATTACAAGAACCAGAAACTTGCTAATGAAATAAAAATCTTCATTTGGCAGAAATCCACATTTAGTATCAAACACATGCTGAAATTAGATATTAGCAAAGCAGAAATTTTCTTATATTTTAAGATCCAAGGTAATCACTACTGTTCAATGTTACCATATTAACAACCAGCAATCAACCTAATTCCATGTTCAATTATTACACATCTTTGATATTGTCATGGTAAAGCTTCCTTTGCTTCTTCGGGTGTGATTTCCTGAGAGTACAGTTCTGTAAAGAGGGCAGGTAGCCAGTACTGTGGCTCTCCTGGAGCTTGTGTATCAAGCCAAGCCATCCCTTCCTTCAGCAAATGATCCTGTTGGGGAAGAAAAGAGAACAAAAAAAATAGTAAACAAAAGTAAGTGGATGATGGCACAAACTGTCATAGGAACTGCGCATGTTTAGTGACCATGAAACGCTGGCTCATATTTGGGAAAGAAGGTGGGAACAACAGACTGAATGAAATGCCAAATAGGGAGAATTTCATAAGTGTATCATTATAAACAGCTTGACCCAATGCAAAGCTCAGAAGCCTTTTTTATGCCACTGAGTCATCTCAAGCAAGGCTACATATTATTTTTAAAAAAAAAGTTGAAAAAGCCTATTCCCCTATATACCAGTGATCTTGCCCAAAATCTCATGGGCTTGATGGTTGCCTAGAAACAAGAAAGATTTCAAGAATAAATAACTGAAATATTACAAAATATAGTGTGACTCTGGTCCCATTAATTAATTAAATAAACAAGATGCCATATAAGGATTCTGTAAATATTATCAGCCTCTGGAGAAAACAGTATTTCCAACTTTTTTAAAATATGAATTTTAAACCCAAATTCAGGCAGTTCTTAGTTATATGTCCAAATTACTGACATACCAGCACTTGCTTGGCTCGTTCCATTTCCCACTTTAAACTGGATTTGATTTCACTTATAGTCACATACCCCTTTTTCTGAAATTAAGAATGGAAAAAATAGGATTTCAGTAAATTTGCCAAAGCAGAAAAAGAATGCATACAAAATAAAAAGAGAATAAAATACATTTAGTGACTGCTGTTTGGGAGGAGATATACCAAAAGCAGAACATGTGCTTTGCATGCCCAAACATCAAATAACATCCTAATATCTCTGATTTAAAATTAATTTTAGAAAAGATTTCCTTACCAGTTTTTTTCCTAATGAAACTGAGGATACAGTTTCATACAAAATGGCACTTACTCAAGATTCTTCACAGAATTCTAAAATCTGTCTGGAGAAAGAACAGCTAAAACTGAACTGTGCACGCTGGGAAAAAGAACTGCTCTGTTCATATGCCATCTAATAGGAAACATAAAGTATGTTTGCTTTTTGCTTAGCAAAACATTGAATAGAGATTTGAATAATCTATGGGTTTAGGGTAATAAAACAGTTTGAAATGATAGTTTGGTATTGGCTTATTGACTTTGGCTTCAATGTGATGTGCATAGCTCGTGCATATTTCTGTGAAACAAGCATTATATATGTTAGATGAAAGGAATTGTGATCTATGAATAATTATTAAATGCATTCATCTTTTGTTGCCCTAAATATGTTTCCCACTACTTACTTTTTTATTTTTAATAAACATATAGGACCCAATACAGATTGACACTGTATTGTCACTGCAAAAGGGGAGGATTAATTCTTCTCTCCCCAAACTATACAATCCCTGAATTTATCTCCCCTGTTGTAGTTCTTATTTAAATCTCCAATTCAACATGTAGAAACACTTGCTTACTTTCATGTTAAATTTTAAAAAGTTTCCACAACTGGCTAAATCAAAATAAATCTCCACTCTCTTGATTCCATTCATTCTTTCTTTTCCAGTATAAGCACCTCAGCAAGCTGTATGACAACAGTATGATCCATGTTTAGTTCAGCTGGCACAGACTGGATCAGGTATGTCCCACCAACAGGAAGGATCCCAAAGCCATTTCCTAAAACTTTCAGCTTCTTAATTGCTCGGATAAGGTCATCTCTGTGAAAATAAAGGAGGTAAAATAAGGCACGAATAGCAGAAATTTTCAATTATTTCCAGAGCAATACATTTCAATTCCTCAAAATCACCT